AACGAGGACGTCCACCGCCGGCGAGCTGCCGCGTAACAGGCGCCGCCTCTCAGCCCCGCAGAAACCTTCCCTTATCCGGCCGCGTGCACGTGGAATGACTTGCTCGATGCCATCACTGGGACACGGGTCGCGCGGCCTCATTGCGTGCTGTGCGGCAAGCAAATCAATGAGATTCGGGCACCAAAGCTATGCCAAAGCAGAACAATCTGTAATCTTGAGATGCTTGCTGTCGAATGTGTCTTTTTATCGTGCTGCTATCAATGACGTCACTTTGAGTGTGCTCCAACACCTGACTGGGTTCGTGATAACCAATGCATGGATGGATTTGAAATAAATTAATATGAATACAACCAGAGCTGCGCCACCTAGGAGAGGGGGGCACGTTTCCCTCCATTGTTGAATACGAGGGGAAAACTTTCTTATCCCTATCCCAACACCTTTCTTTCAGGATGAAAGATGTTCTTCGTACATACTTCCACTACTAGCCCCATATTCTTAACTTTCTTACCATACTTAAGTTCCCTCACCTTCATAGGTCTGCATTGCTACAGTGCGATGCTACAGACTACAAACTCAAAACACCGCTGAGCGATATTTTGCCTATACTAACCGAGCACGTCCAGCGTCTTCCCTGCATTTCAAGCCGGATTACGACGTGATTAGATCAATGTGGAACTACCACCTATAGATGTTAGACATTCCTTATACAGTAAGGTGAAAACTGATGTCGACTCGTAGCATACGTATTACAATGCGATATCCATAACTCCGCAGGTACGACTGCTGTTTCTGTACGCTCTCCGTCAATGACCATCACTTGCTATCACCACTTTCAACGTCGTGCCTTCACAGCAACTTCAAAACGCAAATAGCTACGGCCTAGCAGTTGCGGGTTACTTTAAACTTTAACGTGCCGCACTGCTCGGCAAGGTCCGCCCCACCCGATGACGTCACGTGACCTTGAGCGCGGCCGCTCCCACCGGCCGCTGGTTATCCCAGTCAAGAGCGCAGAGCCCCTAAAGCGCCATGAACCCACCCGGCCACGGGTGGGCGGGTCGGAAGGCAGGCGTTCTAAGCAACTGAGCTATTGGGAAAGACAACGAAGTCGTAAATCAAACTTCGATCAGATTTGATTGCTATACATCAAGTGGCACGCCTTAGCAGCTAGAGCAAATGAAGTCCTGAAAACAACAACACGTTGTCAGCGAATATAACCTACCAACCGTTCACTGATATGAACACTGTCCGAACCATAGGCACCTCAATAATGAGCCGAGAACCGACCTACGCCACTTTTCGAAACTACCCCCGGATACAACGCGCTTTATCCCCAGACGCGAGACTGGACTGTAAAAACTGCATAAAATACATCCAACCATAACCAATATTCACCCGAAATATACGTGTCTTTCAAACAGCTTGGCCAGTCACCAAAGCATGAGGCACTCTAAATTCCTCTTTTCGTCGATTCAAATATTTTGCTTTACCAGCCAAAAGACCGACAAATTTCAAGCACCAAAGTCCTTGAGCGGAAAATAACCGACCTTCGCTACACGACGACGAAAAAAGTCGAGGATATCAAGGAACCCTTGGGACATGCTTATAAACACACTCGAAATTTCCACGAAGCTCAAGTCTGTTTGCTGATCTGTTTGCAGCCTTTTGCCTTTTAACCCGTGTGCAAATCAAACAGCGGGACGCCCGACGCTGTAATTCTGGCCAGGTGCAGGTGCGCACGGCATGGCCTACTATGGCAAATTTCGTGCCGATGCCGTCAGCTGACAGCGCATGGCTTGTGTCGCTAAGAGCGTTTCTAGCCCGCTACAACTTGCATGAGTGGCCTGAAAACGCAGAGCGTACCAAAACCGGTGCGCAGCTGCTCCAAGCACTGGCTACATCTCAGAAACTGCGGGTCGAAGCAACGCAAAATTATCGCTTCTTGAGAGGGAAATTATAGAGAAATTGCGAGGCATCACGTACGCGATTGTACGGGCCACGTGGCTAGACACAGGACCAATCAGATAGAAATTGTTTGTTTTCGGTGCTTTTAATTTGTATCATGTTATCAGCATGTCATCCTTCGTGTGTGTAAGTCTGCCTCTGTGAAGTCCATGTCATAATCCGTGGGACATCCTACTTTGAGCATGAGAGATGAAGGGCATGGGAAGGACGGCCAGCGCCCGCTGGCCTATTTCCGTCGAAGCTGTTAGCGATTCACCTCATGGTGCCAAGCAGGAAAATTATGCAGACAATTCCCTCTAAGATAACGAAGGATTAAACCGTCACGAGGCGTCAAGCGGGTGATACAAGGCGGCATTTTTCAAAGAATAATGCGGCAAAATAGGAAAATCTAACAGTCACGCAAAAATCATACTAGAATGGCATGAATGAGGTCCAATTAGGATACATGGATGGGAGAAAATGGAGAAATAAGGACAACGGAAACTAAAAAAACACGGCTGTTGCGCCACCAAATATAGACAATAACAATATTGTCATTCCTAATTTAAGACGAAAAGTACTATATTTTCGAAACAGTCGCCCGCCGAAGTGGGCGGTCACCTGGTCTATATACCTCACTGATGTGGGCGTGCCTGTCTGCCTGTCTTACCTGTTTCATTCTCGTCTTTCGCCCCTTGGTCCGTGTGCAGGTCAAACAGCGGCTCGCTCGAAGCTTTGACACGCGAATATTTGACAGTTTGGCTTTTGACATGGAAGTTTTGATGCCTGACCCATGGCAATACTTTACGGCGTACCTTGCTTAATACTTTGCTTATGCACACGGAATTCCTTTGACAAGTGTAGAGCGCGGTGCGGTCAGCGTACAGCGCGTGGCTCGTGTTGCAAACTGTGTTTCCAACCAATTGGTTTTACATTGGTGACCTAAACACGTGATCCGCGCCAAAGCGGGCGGACAGCTGTTCGGAACTGTGCCCACATTCCGGCAACCGCAGACCGGAGCGACGCCAAATCGGCACGTCTCGTTAAGGAAGTGCAAGGGGCATCGCGAATTACATCGTTTCATGTGTGGGATTACAGCTGTCACGTGGGGCACGCACGCGGGCAGCGCAGATAGACCTGCCCGTTCCCAAAAGGTTTTTTTCACGTCACGACACATGTCAGCAGTCAGGGCCAACGGAGGCCTGAATCCAGCTTCAAAACGTCGACCAACGTACCAGCTGCCAACTGTGTGGCCATCACGTATTGGCTGAATGTACGGCTGTGCAATGAATCGCCGGGACATTTGGGACTGTCGGCACACTGTCGTCGAAACTGTGCCCACGGCAGTGGCGAACTTTATATTACCGTGTGCACCAAGTTATTACCCGCATTTACCGCCCGATTATTCGTCGCCGACACTATTCCGTTCACACATCAACTAGAGCATCACCGTGTCATCATCATTTACATCACCGTATGCACCGAGTCATAACCTGCATTCTCCATCCGTTTATGAGTCATTTACACTATTCCGTGGAAACATTTACGAAGCCTGCCAAGGCAAAGCACGAAGGCCTTGAAGTTTGGTGCACACTCTTGTTACACGCAGTCTGCACATGTATTGTGAAGTTTATGTCTGTGTGTGCGTTTGTTCCTCTTTGTGTCTGCGTCTGCAAAAGGGCTCTCGGCGTTCTCAGCGTTCTGAGATAAGACACAGGCGGTAACCAGGCCACGAAACGTTTCGGGCACATAAGAAACAAGCAACTTTTTATATCATCATAGAGCACGATTTATACGATCACGTGAGAGTTATGGAGGTAAACTACCAGGCGACAAAGTGCCAAATGAATTATTGAAAAGGGGCAGTAGCAACGTATTTCGTCTACAACTACCACTTCGCTAATTTTAAATTATCCCTTACAGTTAACCTTTCAGGTTGGGTCAGCCCCATTGCTATCCAGTTGTTCTGCCTCATCGTGTTTTAATACGTCGGTCGCATCTCCAACTGGTTACCTGGCCCAGCCAATAACGGCCAGCCGTGGTCAGCTGACCTAGCTCGGTCACTGACAGCTGTGGGCCGCTAACCTGAATGCTCCTCGTCCGGTCACCCATAGACGATAATTAAAGCCGGCCATTAATCACAAAGACGACCGTCTTTATATATATATATATATATATATATATATATATATATACATATATATATATGCCCAAATATAAATGCATGTCTACATTGTTGTTCATACAAGTATAGATATTTACATATAGTTATGCATTCATATTGTCATGCAGTGAGTCTTAGTTGTCTGTGCGCGGTGGCCGGTGACCTCCAAACGCACCGCTCTGGATAACGCACTCGCTGTCAGTCATCACCAGTCAGCCCCACAGCTGCTGCGGCCAGGATAGTCAGCACTGATACTCAGTGACAGTCAGGCCGGTCTGTCGGGCGGCCGTCACGCCCCCGGGCATCCACCTCCGTCCCGCCGCCCGACCGGCCGGGGGCGTCCAGCCGCCGTGCCCTAAGTGGGGCGGCGGCGCCGACCAAGCCGGCGGCGCCGCTGCGCACGCCCAGCGACTGCAAACGCCGACCTAATGGGCGGGCGGCCGGCCGTCCAGCTCGGGCGCGGCTCTCGGCTGATTGTGAGCGATGTCCCCGCAGGATCTCCACGAGGGCGGCAGCCGGGCCGGTGCCGGCCGGCCGCCGGGCCGCGTGACGTCATCACAGCGGCCGTGGGTGGGAAGGTCCGGCGACACAGCCCCCCCCCCCTCCCCACCCCACCCCTAAACTCGGACAAAACGGTTTAAGAGCTGCGCGCCCGGCATGTCGCAGACTCTGCGGCCACGGCGCTGTTGCGCCCACGGCTCTACGGGGCTGGTGGACGCAATGGCACCGACATCAGGCGAGAATTCAGCACCTGTCTGGTATCCTCAAATCACCCTATGCATCACATGTGTTCATAGACAATCACACATGATACCGCGCCGAAGAGCGGAGCCTGCAGGCGGCACATCCAAGGCATCCCGACCCAAACTCACCCGTCCTCGCCGGCCGACTTGCGTTTAGCGATGATGGCCGATATTTTCTGCCACTCGCGGTCCAGCTCGGCCTTCTCGTTCTTCTCCTTGGGGATGCGGCGCGTCTTGCGGCCGTCGGCCATCTTGACGCCGTACTGGAAGGCCGCCTTGGGTAGCGCCTCCTTCTGGTTCATGTAGTTGCTGTACTCCTCCTGCGTGTCGAAGTCCCAGCGCCCGATCGGGCCCTTCTTGTTGCCCTGCCGACGCCACCGACGCGTCAAGCGCCTCCGTTGCCGTGCGACAAACGCTTACCCCACACCGGCGCAACACAAGACGACTGCAATCCCGTGTGGATGTCGAGGCCGGTTCGGCCATTCCAACGTAAATACACCGGGACGGATTCTCACACACGGTGTTTATACAAAACAGCTGCCTGTGAGGTTTTCCAATAGGCTTGTGTCATGCACAGTGCTTCGCAAAGGGGGCCAACATTTTTCAGTTAGCAAAGCACACTTAACTATACGTGTGTTATCCTCACGAAAGCTATTAAAAATAGAACAAGACCGTTGGACCATGCACAACGACAACGTTTGGAAGTATGGAGGCCGGTTTCAGGTGCTAAAGCCTCCACTGCTTCAACCTGGTGCCAGCGCGTGCCTTCATTAGAATGCTGCCCGCTATGCTAAGCAAACGAAGTTTCGCTGATTGCTCTCGCTCCGAGCACTTAGAATATCTCAGCTAGGCTCGTCTTGGTTGGCACATGAACACCAGACGCGCCCATCACGGCCGATCTTCCGTTGACGAGATGGTGTTCCGTGACCTTAAAGGCCTTGAACGCATCGTTCAACCTTTCGCCGGACAGTGCCGCGGTAAGCAGCGGTTGATGCCGCCCGAAGCTGGCTGAGCCTATCACACATGAGCGTTATCATCTGAACCAAAGCCCGTCGGAGCAAGATAAACATACCGCTGCAGACGCTGAACGATATTTAATGCCCCCCCCCCCCCCCCCCCTTGGAGCAAGCGCGGAGGCGACGACCAGTTAGGACATGATGCCCCGGATCAAGGTGTAGTATCCGGGGTTTTCCTTCACTGTCGTGCCAACCATGCTGATACAGAACATGAAGCTGCTTGTTGACCTGAACCACATGCTAACATGGAGGACCACTCTAAGCTCTCCTCCTACCTCACGACGCAGGTTACCGCCTACAGCATCTTTCATTGATAAACTAGGGGGCGGCAGTCAAATTGATCCAGTTGACCTAGCCTGAATACCGTGAGGTTTCGTAGGGCTTCATTGAGTTACTTCAGCCACTGTAGCTTACAATTCGACCCATCTCACTTTTATACTCACAGGCTCATATTGACAGACACATGGAAACCCATTTCGGTGCATGAAAAATCTACCCTGAGACCCCACCATGTTTCTTGAAGGTAACACCTTAAGTTCCTCCCCTGTGCAGTACTGGCAGCAGTGACACCACTTCTGCCCATATGATGCTCAAAATCACATTTAGTGTCGGGTAATATCGGACAATTTTCCCTGCAGCTAACACCAAGTTCACACCAAGGAGAATGAAGCGCTCGAAGTCAGCGGTTTTGGTGCAAGGCGATTGCATGTGAAAACGGTCAAAATATCAACTCGGTAGATATTTATGCATGTTGCTTTGCACACGCGACGAACGCCAGAACTGCTGTCTCCGCCTACTGGAACTAGCACTACCTTTTTGAAGCGCCCTTGAGTGTCCCGACAAACCTAGCACTGACCAAACATAAACCAAAACTTGATCACTTTCAGTCACACGACCATCCCACCACGAAAGCCACACTGTCCCTATGCCGACTGACACAACACGACCGCCCACTGAGAAACAGAGGTGAGAGAACCCAGTCATCAGGGGACCATGTGCAGTCGATCTCAACCAGGGATAAGATCACTAAAGCTATTTCGAGCGCACAGAGAGACGAAGCCAGTATGACCGCGCCCACACAGGCCATGGAGACAACCAGCTGCGCACCAAACCCCACCTACTCTCGTTCATGGCCAATAAACAGGCTCAGACACACAGGCCTGCAACAAATCGCCGACAGATAGCCTGCATCTGAATAGCTGCTGCCAGGAAGTGAGAACATTCAAGGCATTTTCAAGCGCCTCCATTTCGACGCCGCCGTGGGGAGCGCGCGCGCCACGAGCACCGCGCCGGCCGGCGACCGACCCGCCCTGGCCAGACGAGCGGCCGCTGCTCACCATGTCCATCTTGGAGTAGTCGGCCTCGTCGTCCGAGTCGTCTATGGCGTCGGCCATCTCCTCCAGGCCCGGGTAGCACTCGGCGTAGCCGTTCAGCGCCGTGCCCATGTCCTTACTGCAGCACGGGGGGGGAGGGGCGTCAGGGCCCGGCCGCCCGGCCCCATCGGCCGGCGGTCCGCACCAGGCCGGGTCACGGCCCCCGGCGGGCGGGCGGCCACCCGGCCAGCGCCGTCTTGAAAGCTGGGCCCCATGACCCCGAGCGAGACGGCGGTGGCTATGTGCAATCACGGCAGAGTGCCGCACACTGGCTGGTAAGAGCATTGCGATCGCCGCGCGACACCTGATCGGAGCATTAGCTGATCGTACCGCACAGTTCGCAGCCACATTAGCTGCCTACTTGTCGCAGTCGACCGGTGCCATTATCCCCGTGCCTCCCAACATAAACAGCGCATGGCCTACGCGTTACAGCACGCTTCGCTGCGAACGACGACGCGCATTGGGAGACCTCGGTCGGCCCGCTGACCGTGCTGTGGCCATGTCCCAGCCGTAACGGGTCACAGACGGCCGTGACGCCGCTCGCCTGCTGTGACGGGCCGGGAGGAGTGTGACGCTCACCTGCGCTTGCTGGCAGCGGCGGCGGCGTCCACGCTCAGCCAGTTCGACTCGCGGCCCTTCTCCCGCTCGAACCTGTCGCAAGCCAAGGGGCCGTTCACAGCCAGAAGGCATAACGCACGGCAATGGCACGACATCAACACGATACATTGCGGTTTTGTCGAAGGATTGAAACGGGGCAGCAGTATCATGGACGGACGGAACAATTGTTTGGACCAGCGTCCTTGTTTATTGTGTTAGCATGTACACAACATTTCGGTCATTCGACTCTACGGCCGTCGTCAGGCGTTATGGAGTCCTGAGAAGGACTGAATGATACGTGACTTTCAGCCATGTATGTGCCACAACCATGATCATTTTCCTGGAATGACCGGGATTCGAACCACGGTCCTCTTGATTGCGATACCAGTGCTTTGCCAACAGCTCAATTTATATAGCACTGGGCTTACAATCAAGAAGACCCAGGTTAGAACTCCAGCAACTCCGAGGGGAGAATTCGGCTTGTGACATATACGTAAGTGATAGCCAAGCATTGTTCCGCCTTTTCAGAACTCACACCTGGCGACGGCCCGATAATTAATTGGTACACACGTTGTGTACACACACCAGACGGGACGACAGTCTGAACAATTATTCCATTCGTGACAACAAATTACCTCGGGGAAGTTTGGGCTCAGAACGCAGATTCGCGCGTTTTAGAAGATCCTCACGCATATAATGGATTAAACCAAAGTGAAATTGGAGGAACGGGTCAAAATGGACGAGACTAAAGAAATGTGTCTTGGCACAATACCAACACCACAACGCTCAGAGTGTTACAATGATGCACACCCACGCAAAATACTCAACCCAAACTCAGAGCCCATCAGTTCAGCTTGACATTCACATTGCCATCTACCGCCAGGATGCATCCCAAGAAGGCCGGCATCCCAGGAGCCACTCCCTTACTCCGGTGCCATCGGCCTGAAGATGTCCCATCGTGCACCAGAGCGGTGACACGGTGGAGCGCGACTGGAGCGGGGGGGGGGGGGGGGCACGGAGGAACGAAAGGTGATGAGATCGTGCTCCGGGAAGCAACCGCAAGTCGCAAAGCACGTGGATACCATCAGCCACATAAATAAACCGCGCCATGCGCCAGACCACGTGACCAGAAAACCCTATGTCCAACATCGCGCTCCGCGGCGGTTGATACAGTTTAAGAGCGGGACAGGCTGTACGGTCAAAACCGAGCCCAGAACTGCCACCGATCGGCCGGGCGTCCAAACACAACAAACAAATCTGGGGGGCACTTAATGGGCTCGAAGCCGAAATATTCCGCGCAAATGCAGTATAAAGGGTAACGCAATGCATCACAGCCGGGAGATTTCTGACTGAGCCAAATCTCTTCGAGCCCCCACGTTAAGCCAGCGGTGCTCAGTCATGACCATTGCGGTGTTTAGGCTCCGAAAGGTCATTCCGTTAAAGCGGGCTCGCCTACATTCACACCCACGCCAATCGTGGCAAACTGCCACCAACTGATCCCCCATTTCTCGACACTCGACCGACCTCGGGCCCATGCCCGCGCTTTGTCGATCGGATGTAATTTAGGAGCAGTGATAGGCTGCGTGAACCCGCCTGCAATATTGATGCCCGCTGCGGAAGATGAGAGCCGTCCCAAAGCACTCATCTCTCACATTCTCGCCAGAACAGACAGCGGAGTGCCGCAGCCTGCGCTGCCACCAGCCATCATCACTGCGCACACCACACGGCCTCACACGGAAAGACGGACTGTGGCGAACCACTGCCGGTCAGGGGTTCATCGCAGTGAAAACGAACTCGGCGCCAGAGACCTGCATACCTGACAGCCGCGCATGCACGGGTCACCGACGGTATGGCTGAGGCACACTAGCCCCGGGCGTCACCAAGTCCGACCCCCGACGTCATCTAGGGCCCGGCTCATATATGCTGCACCAGTGTTCTGTATTCTGGCCACTTGACATTCATAATGGTTTGCATATGCAGTGATGCATAGCGTTACTAGTGTTTTAGAAAAACACTACAAGCATTGTTTCTGGTGTTTTTCTGTGTTAAAGCACTAGAAACATTGTTACTACTGTTTTTTCAGCTCCAGTGCCTCAGCCCTCGCCTGTCCGCGACTCACTGGCAGCGGGCCGTTGCCGTCATCAGCTCAACCCTGGTCGTCCCCAGCCTCCTGTTCACGCGTCCGGCGCAGTCAAGCGCCGCCTACCAGACGTCTGCCATCTGCCGGACGCAGCGGAGGCCGCGCGGGGAGCGCCGGCCGCCAGCTGCCGCCCCGGCCGAACCCAGCCCGCTCACCTCTCCTTGTCGCGCTTGTCCCGCTCGGCCTGCTCGCGGTCGCGCTCCTCCTGCTCCTTCTCCCGCTCCCTGTCGCGCTCCTTCTCCCGTCCCCTGCCGTGTGTCAAGGACGGTCAGGAGCGCACCGTGGACACACCACAGCTGTGCACCCATCACAGAATGCCCCAGCGCTGTGCACTCTGAGCCGTATATACCAGACTGGCGTCAACCTCTGGGCACATTCCGTGCTGATATTTGGCACACTGCAAGCACTTTGTGCTTTTCCCAAACAATTGGGTTGAAAACAGACTTGAATGAACAAGGAAAGTGTATCCCAGCCTCAGCATCCTTCGATGTGTGGTTATTCGCCTGCAGCAAAGAACAGTCAACACTCTCCAAGTAATTAATTCAGCGGCATCAGCATGTGGAAACAGCCTGCGCTACATTGTTTATTAGCTCGCGGCCGACGCTGGCCCAAGCCACCTTTTACTCGAAGAGTCCGGCAAGAACCGCGCCCTGACGGCGGCTGTGCGGCGCCTCACCTCTCACGCTCGCGGTCGTGGCGCTTGTCCCGGTCGCGGCGGGTCTCCTCCTCCGGTCGGTCAAAGTAGGAGCGCGGCCGGCGCTCCCGCTCCCCCTCCTGTCGGCTGGAGAAGGAGGACGGTCAGCCGTGGGAGGAAACGACGCTCGATACTCACTGTCCCCTCCTGTCGGCTGAGGTAGGAGGGCGGCCACCCGAGGGAGGAACCAACATTCCATGCTCACTGTCCACTCTCTTGTCGGTTGGGGAAGGAGGGCGATCAGGTGAGTGGAAGCGACAGTCGACGCTCCCTGTCCCCCCCCCCCCCCCCCCTCCTGTACGTTGGGGGAGGGATGAATGTCAGGGCTGGGGAGGGATGGCAATCAGGGCTGGGGGAGGGGATGGGGCCAAGCGGGCCACGGGCGCAACCTCGTCGCCCAAGCGCGCCGGTAAGCCCTCGTAACCGGACAAAGAATCAAAGACTCAGCAGTTACCAGTCGCCAACATAAGCCCTCAACGCAGAGCCTCAACATCTTATCCATAAATCAGTTGGGACCCAAAACACACGTGAGTAAAAAGAGCTCAAAGCTGATGGCCTCGACTTCAAGACATAAGGCCTCGTGCCCCCCCCCCCCCCCCTGCTGACCTCGCCGACAGTCCTGCCGAACTCACCTGAACTTGATACTGTCCCGCCCTCTGACCCCGCCGACTTGGTACCGCCCTGCCCTCTGACCCGCCGACAGTTCCGCCGGGCTCACCTGGACTTGTCGCCGTCCCGGGCGCGATCCTTGTTAGCCGGGACCGGGACGTACTCGCCGACCTCGCCGACAGTTTCGCCGGGCTCACCTGGACTTGTCGCCGTCCCGGGCGCGGTCCTTGTTGGCCGGGACCGGGACGTACTCGCCGACCTCGCCGACAGTTCCGCCGGGCTCACCTGGATTTGTCGCCGTCCCGGGCGCGATCCTTGTTAGCCGGGCCCGGGACGTACTCGCCGACCTCGCCGTAGATGTCCTCGCCGGCCATCTTCTTCTCCTCGGCGGCCCGCTGCTTGTCTTTCTTCTTGAGGCGGCGGCCGGTACGGCCTTGACGCAGGTACGACAGGATCTGCGTAAGCTTGTTGATGACGATGTCGTTGGTGGTCAGCGTTGTAGCTGTCTGAAGAGGACGAGAAGAGAGGCGTTAATGTGGTGGGGGCATTGCCGAAAGTCAAAACCGACGCAACTACAGCAAGTGGTGCTTGCTGTGTTGTTAAAGCATACTTAATGATCATTTACAACCCCACAGTGTTTAACGTGTCGCGCAGGACTGTTGGTACAAATTTTCAGTTTTGGGGGGTCGTCTTGCAAAGCTCTTAACGAGAGCGTGGGAAATTCGTACATCCATGCTTGAACTGTTTCAAGACGGGCATTTCTACAAATACTTCAAGTGTACACTATGTCGAGTAACCAGGCTACGATATCGTCCCTCAAGGTTGTCAGGTACGACGTGAAATCACCAATGTCTTGGTTTACCACGGCCTTATCGCGTGGAGGAAAGGGTCTGTCTAGCGCGGCAATACTCATGAAAATAATGGGAAAATTAAAAAGATTCACACAATGCCTTGGAACTTTTTACATCTTCCACAAATAGCTCAAGCAGCATGACATTTGCTTTTCAAAATTCAGCGACATGTACTCCACTACATTTGAATGTACTCATGCCGAAGCAAAATAAAGGTGCAATAACGGATGTGCTCTGTTTTATGGACCACAAAAAACATCCTCCGTGCGCCTTATCTGCATAGTCCATTTCTTTTTTAGCATCTGCTCACCCGAGGAGAAAGCAATTTTAGAGCACTGCGGCAGTCCCGGGTACGTCGTGACTGACTGCGGTGAACAGGGCCGCGGTCAGCCGCCGCGGGGCGACGCAACCCTGCCCGTACCGGCACGGCGCCAGCCCATCTGCGGGCAGTCGGTCTTGCTGCGTCCCCTCCCCCCATCCCCCGATCGGGTGCAGACTACAGAGGGTGTCAGCTCACCTCCACCTGCGGACAGTCGGCTTTGCTGCGTCTCCATCCCTCCCCCCCCCCCCATAGGGCGCAGACTGGAGGGTGTCAGCTCACCTCCACCTGCGGACAGTCGGCCTTGCTGCGTCCCCCCTCCCCCCCCCCCCCCCCCCTCCTCGGTAGGGTGTACACCACAGAGGGCGTCAGCTCACCTCCACCTGCGGACAGTCGGCCTTGCTGCGCACCACCGTGGTCGGGATGTCGAAGTCGACGTACTCCTCGTCCAGGTCGATCCGGTAGGCGGTGCGGCCCGGCAGGAACAGCTCGTTGCGCAGCGGCGGCTTGTCCCGAAACAGTACCCTGCGACCGGGCGGCGGCGATCGGAACGGGACCGGGCCCCAGCAGCGGGACAGGGACACGGTCGGTCGCCAGCGACGAGCCAGACCCACCCAGGCACTCCCAGTGACGTCCCAACGTGCCGCCACGCACGACGTCCGGGCCTTCAACATCAGTCACGCCAAATGTGCTTGTGTTCTTAACAGCGCTGGATATTTTTGACAATGGTACTATCACCAATATAGTTAGAAATAGCCAAGCAAACACCGCAAATGACAATCCCCACCAACGTACCGGCAGCCTTAAATACTGGTGCCGATTGAAGTTGATAAGCTCGAAAGAGAAAGAGGAACAGTGGCTGACCTGTGCACGTTCTTGCCCATCTTGGTCTTGAAGAGGATCTCCTCCTCTTTGGCCTCTTCCTTCTTCTTGTTGTCGACGCCGTCGGCCAGCTGCTCCATCTCGTCCTCGTGCTCCAGCTCCATGGCCTGGATCTCGGACCTCACCTGGCCGCAGACGCGGAACCTCAACCGCAGCCCTCTCTCCATACGGCCGTCAGGTCTGCCACGTTGTTGTCCCAGCCGCGCGCCGCCCCGCACATCTCAATACGAACCTCACGACGCCCGACGATGGTGGTCTGCTCCCAACCGGCACTGCTAACGCCTTCCCGACCACAGACCCAGCCAGAGGCATGGACCACAGACCCAGCCTGGTCCACGGATCACAGACCCAGCCTGGTCCTGGACCACCGGCCCAGCCTAGTCCTCGGACCACAGACCCAGCCTGGTCCCCGACGAGAGACCCAGCCTGGTCCTGGACCACCGACCCAGCCTGGTCCTGGACCACCGGCCCAGCCTAGTCCCCAGACCACAGACCCAGCCTGGCCCTGGACCACCGACCCAGCCTGGTCCTGGACCACCGGCCCAGCCTAGTCCCCGGACCACAGACCCAGCCTGGTCCACGGACCACAGACACAGCCTGGTCCCTGGACCACGGACCCAGCCTGGTCCCCGGACCACAGGCCCAGCCTAGTCCCCGGACCACAGACCCAGCCTGGTCCACGGACCACAGACCCAGCCTAGTCCACGGACCACAGACTCGGCCCGGGCTCGGACCACAGACGCAGCCTGGTCCACGGACCGTACACAGCCTGGTCCCCGGACGAGAGACCCAGCCTGGTTCCCGGACCAGATAGGTGAGGCTTGCGACGGGCCGGGGCAAACGGCACAAGTCAGGCGTTTCAGGGCGACACAGGTCAGGCGGTTCAGCACAGCACCGGTCATGCGGTTCGGAACGGCGCAGGTCAGGTCACGGGCTCGGCCGTCAGCCCCCTGTGGGCCTGGTGAGAGGTGACACACGTCACCAGCCACAGTCCCATCAGCCACGGCCGGATCGACACGGCCGGCGCCGGCACAGTCCTGTGGGCGGCGACTCCGTGTCACGCGGCTTACGCGCGGAAATGCCCAGTAGGCGGCTCGCCCAAACTGACTGTGGCATACATAGTACGCTCGATCTCGGGCAGCAGCTCAATACGAAGGGCCGGCGCTGGACTGTAGCGCGACAGACCCAGAGCCGACCCAGAGCCGCCCCGGAGCCGAGCCCGCTGGAGGGGCCGGGCCACCCAGCCACCCATCAGTCCGGCTGAGCCCATTACAGCTAGATCTAGCTTAACGCAGTCCACCTGAGGTAGTCAGGGCGGACGCCGACGGTCCGCTGGCCGTCCAGCGCGGTGGGCAGGAGCGGTGCACACCTTTTGTAGCAGAGCGTAGTCGAGACCCTTCACCAAGTGAGTGTGCTCCATGTCACCACCGAGGAACTTGGACTCCTGGATTTGCTGACGTCGACGCTCGGCCGCGTCCAGGCCCCTGCCGACGGGTCACCGTCACTCAGCTGAATGTCACAGTCCAATAAGCAGACAACATGCTACGGGCGACTGTACTGGCTGGACCAGCTAATCTGAGTACAGGGCGGAGACGACACCAATGGTAAGTGCAGGCCCAACAGGTGCCGACACCACAACCCTGAATCCCATTGACATCTCGACAGTTATTCATTTTTGCAACAAGCAATAGCCGAGAAAAAACTGCCCTGGCGGTCAGCTGCCTGAACAGAAAGAAAACGGCAACAACAACGGACCAACAAAGTTGCTGCCAACTGTGTATGCTGCGAGAGAAAAAAGCTATCCCACGACTCACAGCTCGAGTCGCTCACAACCTGCCGCCTAACACTGCAGGCAGGACACGACACCGACATGCCCGGCGGGCAGCGCCAGCGAAGCGCCCACTCACGACTTGAGGTCGGGCGCGACGGCGCGGTAGGCGCTGGCCGTGGCCATGGCGTCCTCGGTCTGGTGCGGGAAGTCCGGCACGCCCGCGCCCTCGTCGCCGTCGCGACGCTCCTTGGCGCGGTCGCGGTACTTCTTGGCCAGCTCCGCCATGATGTCGTCCTCGGCGCGCTTCAGCTTGGCGTAGTAGCTGGGGGGAGGTGGGTCGGTGATCGGACGGCCAAGCCCAGGGGCTGCTCGCGGGCTGAGTGCCAGCTGACTGCACTGGCAGCGCTTCGCATCACGTGACGCAAAAGGAAAATGGAAGGTGCTGAATGACAACGAGGTCTGTGGTCGGGACAACAAGCCATCTTTTTGGTGCGGATGGAGCATGATGAATTTATTGGTTTTCAGTCTCATCAAAACGTCATCACCTGCATACACCTGGAAACGATTGTCGCCTACGTCCTATGCCATCACGGGCATGTCCTCCAGATTTGATACACAGATGCACACTTCAGAAATGCATCCCCGTCTCTCATATACTCCGAGACGCTCTACCAGTCCAGACAAACAGCCGGCATATCACTGGTCGTCATGCGCCAACCGCGTCCACAAAGGCCTACGCCAGCCGCCCCGGCCACCGGCACACTCACCTCTTCTTCTTGCGTCGCTCTTCGGCCTTGTCGATCTTGCCCGAGGTGTCGGGCCGGGCGGCGGCCGGCGTGGCGGCGGGCGGTGCCGTCGCCGGCCCGGCCCGCGGCGTCATCAGCAGCTTGCGGAAGTCGGCATTGGTGAGCCGGGCCGGCCTGCCGACAGACGTTGCGTCACGGCAGGGCGCCACATCGCGCGCGGCACCGACGCACCCTCGCAGGTCGCAAACATCAGATAGAGGCCGGACGCGACCACACCAGATACAGACAGGATAGGCAGGAGGCAGGTGAGCAGGCATGGCTGCACCAGCAGGACGTGCCATCACGTTTCCGACACATGGCATGCTTTCTTGGCATTGTCATGCTGGGACTCAGAAGCTTACATCTAAGATTTAGGTTAACAAGACTTCAGCTGAATCTTGGGACACATGTGTTGCATGTTATCAGCTCTCATGTTTCTAAAGGAACACAATCTATGTGTCAACAGTGACCTGAATTTTAAAAATCAGGTACAAGATAGTTATAACAATTGAAGCACATGAAAAAGTGCAGTGCACAAATCCAACTTTACCACAACATGATCCAAGCAATGAAAAAAAATTGCCAGAGCTAACAAAAGACTTCATTCTACCAAGTGTCAGTGTACTTAGCATGAATAAGAAAAAAGGCAATGTATCCCCAGCTCTCACGTAGATTCGACGTTATGTTGTGCGGCACCCGGCGGTGCTGCTGGGTTCGCAAATGGCTCCTCCTCTGTGGAAACAAAGGGACTGGTCACAGAAACACTCTGGCTCAATGTGCTATGATCTAAAGCTGTTCTAATGGACAGAAACACTCTGGCTCAATGTGCTATGATCTAAAGCTGTTCTAATGGACCTAAAAACTAACTCAAATTGATCAAAGCAATGCACTATGAATGTCTGCATACTAAAAACTCTTTGGCAGGCCAAACTTATGTGTGAAATGCTGTTCTTTGAGCAGCGAGGGGAAAAATACCACAACCAGCTGATCAATGACCTGGATGAAATGAAGCACTCCTAATATGAGCAAACAAAAATTATTTAGTGATCAGGGAGAGTGCAAATGACTGAGGCACTTGCCAATGCTGGGCTCAAAATTATGGGTTCAGGCCTGTCAGACTAACAAGATTTGTAATGGCAGTCCATGTGTGAGACCTCACATGATTGCCACAGCCTTCTATATCTTGATTTAATAAAATATCAATGTTAATATGGAAAATATAGTCTATTTATTGATCCCAGAAGAAATTACTTACTTTCAGGCATGACTGTTTATAAGGGTATACAGTTCAATTAAACTATGGCAGACTGCAGGTGCTGTCAAACCTGGAAGAGAGATAACACAATAAGACATACAATGCACAACATCTCAAAATGCATCCAGTAGGGTATGCAGCATATAAATATGGATTCATCTACAGGAATCATGGCTCTCTGGCAGCCCCCAAACTCAATTTGTTGGCACCAATCCATTGCCCTTTGATGCCAGTCCAGACATCTGACATGCCCAGCCCATTTGTCAAGCCTAAGGTGCTTACATACAGGGTTTCCAGCTGCCCAGCTTGATGCTGATTGGCTGATTTTAGGCAAGGGGATGGGCAACAGGCAGTGAGCCTCACCCCAGGTGTATAGCACAACAAAATATTGACATGCCTACCACCCAACTGGCCAAAAATTGGAACACTGACAAGGCACAGTGAGTATTAAGCATGACACTTCCATGCACCCTTGAAACATTGCCAATACTAGGACAACCAAATCTGGGGAATCTGGGTATCATTGCCCCACTTTTGTGGACCTCTGTGGGAAGCAAAATTGAAATGACTTAAGGTTTAATGCACTAGAGCCATCAAAAATTTGTGCATCAGTGGAAATAAAATCACTGGTTGTGACACAAAAATACAGGAAAGGGAAATGAAATACACCTATGTAATTTAGTGCATGGCTGTATCCTATGGCCCACATTACCCAAAATGGAAGCTGATTGCATTGCACTGGAGAATTACTGAAAGAAGTAACTGATGACCATGGACCTCAGCTACAGCACCATGATCAGATTCCATTTAGTGACATATTATAAGCTGCAAGATGAAACATAGCGCGCTCAAGGTGAATTCACATTCTGACGTCAACCATTTGCGATGAGCAGACAGCAAGCTTTGCCGTAGCTAACCGTGCACACACACCCACACACGCTAGTTAAGGCGTTAGCACTAAAAGCACTTCACGAGAAAATTTTCGACAATGATGAACGTCATTATTAAATATAGAATCTCAGCCTACATTCACAATCCCCACGTACCCCCTCACCGAACCCTCACAGCACACAACACAGACCTCGCATCAACAGCGCCCTATGTGCGCAATAATTGACATAAGATTCATGTTAAAGTACAGCTACTTTGCTTTGCAGCGCATCAATCATAAGGTATTCCGTGCTACAAGACTGCAACGAAACAGAGCCATGTAATTGATCATTAAAGGCATGTATCCGTTCCAAAATTAGTTACTTTCTAACACTTAAGCGTTAGTTGACACGCTCGCTGTGTTATATTTCTACACTTTGTTTCCAAAAATCTTACCGCGTTTTAGTTTTCCGGCTCTACTTGCGCCTACAAGACATTTCTCAGCTAATCAAACAATCGCTCTGGCAAAGAAAGTTAACACGAAATATGTCTTTTCCAAGTAGGTACTAAAACAATGTTGCATCTACTTTTCCATCAGACTGCGACAATTGATTGCTGTGCTTATGTTCTGAAAATATATATTTCGAAAACTGTGGAGCTTCGTCGCAAATGACCGAGGGGCGTCTGAATCGTCGGCAGGCGTTGTTTACATCACACACGCGCGTGTGCAGCTTCGCCGGGTCTTGGATCGTTTGTTGCGTTCTCAAGCGCATGAACTTGAACACTAGATTGAAATATTATTTTTGGAGCTGATGAAGAATTGCACTTGAAAGATTTTGTTTTTCCTCCGTTTTCTTCCATACAACGCCATAGTGCGATGCGAAGTAGAGACATTCACGTAGTGCACTGGTACGCCCCCTCCCCCCGTTATTGGAAACATTGCGTACATTCATGTTTTTGTGAAGACATGTTTAAAACTGAAATTCGGCCTAGACACGTAAAATCGAATAGATCGAGAACATGCATTGGCTTATGCCATACACAGAATCTAATTAAGAGGAATTAACTAGGGTTTCAACAAAAATGCGGCGTCTTATCTTCTAAATTCCTGTATATGCCATTGATGTCAAATTTTTCCAAAGTAGCATGTGTGTGAGAGGGGAGGGGCGGGAGAAGATTCCGCGCTGTCAAGCCTCTACCGTTCATAATGGTGGTCTTTCGTCAATTTGTGCAGTGCAGTGGTTCGGAGTTTGGAATGTTTTATCCAGCACAGGGACAAACACGATCTACAACTCGACCCAAATATACTATTGTTGGTTACCTTTGCGAACCGGGCAGCATTTCAACCGGTTAGACAACATTTGCATGCCATGTAATGAAGCCTGCGTTCCCTCGGCGCGGCGTTGATGCGGGGTGGGACGCGGAAATTTTGACGCACGGGGGTTGCTAATAAGTTACGTTACGCATTTTTTGCCATTTTCAGCCCTCCAGTTGCGCACCGGTTATGCCGGATGAACGTTCCCATGGCAAAGCCTGTCACAAAAATATGAATAGATCTGACGTCTCTGAAAGGTAACGCCCGTTTGGGCCCACAGCGTAAATTTACGCTGTTTAAACGCTGCCCGCTTCACATTGTGATGCTTCGGTTAAGCTCCATCAAACTCCCTGCCCGCCCCATGCACAACGTAATATATGGATGGCCGCTGCCAGGTTTTCATACCTGATACGAGGTTGTGTCCCAGCGTGGGAGTCCACGGTCCTAATGATGATAGATTAATAAAGTTGCCTGCGGGACGAAGCTTTTTGGGTCATGCCCCCGGTGATGGTTGGGCGTGGATTTTGACAGTTTATGACATCCGTGGCGTTTTGAAACTTGCAAACGGGTCCTGGAAACATGTAAATGAGATACCGAGAAAACGATGGAAGAGACCCAACATCTACTCGACGAAAAGATGGATTCCAAAACTAATTTCTAAACTGCTGCTACTAAAGGATGAAATAGTGAGACTCTCCTCCATCTGACGTTTCAGCTTGCATTTCGGGCACGCGATGTCGACGAGTCTGTCTCTTTCAGTCGAGCTTGGCGTGAACAAACCGGTCGGGATGACACCGGCTCCAGACTCCGGGCCAGAGAATGTGACTGATAACTTCATCAAAGAAAACAGGGTGGCGGTGTTCAGCAAATCATATTGTCCATTTTGTGAACAGGTAGGCAGCCCTCACACTTATCATATCTCATTCCTTGACCTCGCCACAACTACAAGCGTCTTTTTTTGCACTGTGTGGTACCAGACCGCCGGATTCTTTCCTGCCATCCTGTAAGGCCCACGCGATGCCCACAGCTGGACTGTGTGTTCCGACAGGCACCTGACCTTTACGGCAATTGGTCAAGGGATCTTGAGCTGCCTCGGTGACATGATCTGACGGTTGGCTTGTGGTCGTGTCATGACTTGGTAGTGCACAGTCGGCCACGGTAACTTCGATGGCGCCTAGGGTGTCTCTCAGCCCGTGACCTGTTCTGAGCTCTTGACGGCATGGAGTTTTTATATTTGAATTACATTTTAAGGCCACTGGAAATTTAGTTTTTGTCTTCTTTCGCAGGTGAAGGAATTGTTCAGAAACCATAATATACCATACGAAGCACTCGAGCTAGACGTTGTCGGTAAGTGGAGCACGTTACCAAGAGTTGTCTATTAGAAATAGAACCGCTTGAACTGGCACAAATGCTACTTGAACGGAGCCCATAAACTGAACAATATCTGCAGCAATATGTGGGACATCTACGACGATAGGTTTCAAAAATGTTTTGTCACGCTTGTTAAAAGCTCACGGCGAGACGTGTACTCCCTCAAAATACGCGAACTCGAGAAGTCGACGTTTGATCAAGAGATGAGAGCAAAATGTAGGATATAGTTATTTGGCCGCTCATGGATCGTTATGACCGTCGCAATAGATTAGCACGAAAGCCTGTCTGCCTTAGATCATCTCGACCAGCTTCTCAAGTCCTAATGTCACACTTCACCTCGAAGAGACGTCGACATGTCTACGTTTGCCCTCAACAGTGTGGCGCTGTGAATGACATTGATCCGGATTCTCGACATTTCAAGGCTATGCTGATGCTTAGACAGAGCATAACATCGTGGTTTACCGGTCAGCGGTCCCTTGATGTGATTTGTAAACCATCGTAACGAGTAAATATGAAAGCCTGGAGGGGGGGGGGGGGGGGGCATGCCACCTCTTAGCTGTGTCACTGTCGGTAGCAGAAGGTGATCATAATCTTTAAGTCACGAAATGTCACACGTCCCGGTCATTGCGCCGCATAATGCACTACTGTTGTACGCGTGCGTCCTGCTCCTGCTGCGTGCGCACAACACACGAAACGGCCGCTCATGGCCGATACCCTTTGGGGGAGTTGATCCCCCCGGGCCCTTGCGTCGTGGTCGGGACGTGAGTTTTCTTGCGTTGCGCACTGTCCCGTTTGCTCGGCAGCTGACCCCGTCCCCACCAAAAAGTGTGTTGATTATTTGGTCTGCACCACTATGAAGAAATGTCGATATTAAATAGCTCACAAAAACGATAAAGAGCAATCAAATTGCTGCCTTTTTGCTCGCTTCGGTTCGGTTCACGACTTGGTAATGTGGTCTTGGCTCTACCTTAGTTACGGGAATCACGGATCCATTTAGATGCGGAACTAGGGAGCAAAACTGTTGTTGCTAAGTCCTGTCAGAAGAGTCGGGTAGAGCGCTCGTAGGGAACCCGGCCGTCAGAAATAGGAGGCCGCACAGACCCATAGCACTGCAAGGTGTCACTGCCGACAGAGAATGGTGCTGCCATCCAGAGTGTGCTGCTGGAGCGGACGGGCCAGAAGTCGGTCCCCAGCGTGTTCATCAACGGCCGACATCTGGGCGGCTGCGACACAACAGTCCAGGTGAGGACGGACAGGGTCGTCTCTGGCCTTGTCCGGCAGTGTCAGGTATGCTGACAGCCAAACCCCTACGTAAGTTGCAGCTGATGCCTGCTGGTGCTGGTGTTTGACGGTGTTGCGGCTGGTGTTTGATGGAACTTCGGTGCCATCGGGTACAGTCAGTGAAAACAAACAGTGACACAAAAGCAATGACACAGTGCGGTATTCGTACCAGAGTCATATGCGACAGGCATGCACGTGTGGTATTTCACGGAGCTTCTGTCTTGAACTGGTACTCGAGCTGGTTTCATTGGGGACTGAGGTCTCGCTGGCAGCTCGCGGAGCGGCTCTAGTGTGGGCAGACTGCGCCGCAGTACACCGCTGCCCGGCGGGTGGGGCGTTACTGGAACGCCCGCGACTAGTCCGTCACCGTTTGAGAACGGCGGGAGGGGCTTGAAAATCCGCTATGTTTTGACTTGATTACATTGAATCTGAAGCTTAAAATGTAACAACGGCCGCGATGACTTTTTCAAAAGTCCTGTCAGAATCGATCAGCACGAGAACGGCCTGGGGACTGAGTGAACTGACCAGGGTCACTGCCACGCCGGTCCCGGTAGTGTGCGAAGTGTGGGGCCGGCCAATGCTAGCCTTTATTCCGGTAAGCCGAACACTTGCATGGCACTCTTCGGTGATCGCCGTCCGTTTGATTCTTGTCGGCCGTCTCTAAAGAAGTTCAGGCCGGTCTATTGTAGTCTCCCTGACGCAAAACAGTTAGCCACAGCTTCAACCCCCCCCCCCCCCCAAACACACGCAAATAAATACATTTATAAATAAACGGCAAGACAAAGGGTCTCCAGTTGACAGCATATCTGCTTTGTAGACTCGCGTCATGTTCTTGGTGGGCCCGACAGACGGCAGACCCAGCACGGCTCACTCGCACCGTGGACCATCCGTACGCTCCGAGCGCAGTGTGACCGCTCGCTGTGATGTCACCACCTCACCAGCCGCGGCTGGCACGTTCCGGTGAGACAAGCCCGCCTGACAGACGCGGGCTAATTTCGACAGACTAGGGGTAAACTGAAAACGCTCCGCTTCGAGCCCATCCAACCCAGCCTAAGCGGTGTCGTGGCACCGCTGTGTGTCCGATCAGTGTGCTGACTGCACGGCGTGTGCGCCTGGCAGGCGCAGGCGGACGGCCGGCTGCAGGCGTTGCTGAACGCCGGCGCCGGCGACGCCCAGTACGACTACGACCTGGTGGTGATCGGCGGCGGCTCGGGCGGACTGGCCTGCAGCAAGGAGGCGGCCCGGCTGGGCGCGCGCGTCGCCCTCTGCGACTTCGTCAAGCCCTCACCGCAGGTGGGCGCGCTGTCCGGCCGCCGGGACGGCCCGGAGGGTCAGCTTGACCGCGACAGCGGGTGCGACTGTACATGAGCCTTGTGAGAGACTGTCTCTGGCTTCCACATGTGACGCTGCTTAGTGCAGTTGCCAGCGTTGCCTACAGACGAAAACATTTTAGCCGCCGTGTTGTTCTGGCGCCCGCTTCTTTCCCATGTTTCTCATCCTCCATTCCCCGTACCCGTCATAGGGGACCACGTGGGGGCTAGGTGGCACATGTGTCAACGTCGGCTGCATCCCCAAGAAGTTGATGCACCAGGCCAGCCTGCTAGGCGAGGCAGTGGGCGACGCCGAGAAGTTCGGATGGTCGGTCGATGCCCGTGAGTTGCGCGCGTTTGACACCGACTGGCAGCAGCGCAAAACAGACGGCCGTGTCCATAGCTGGTGCCAAGTCAGGGGCGAGCAGTCCTTCACAACCGGGGATCTTCGTGTAAACGGCTTTTGAAACGATTTTCAATGCTCTCTCCATTTCGCCCATTCGTTTCCAGGAGCATTCTTTCCTTGCTTGTTAATTTCACAAGCTAATGAATCAATGAAAGATTCGCATGTTTATACAACACTTGTTGTGTTTCTCGCAGTGGAGCAACTTCACAGCATACGCCCTCCCCTAGCCTCAGGTATCCGCATAATCAAATGATCTCGATTGGTGAAGACGAGGCAGCAGCCAGTGACAACACCGCCATCCGTGATGCCGTTTCCAGACCAGCACAATTGGGAGAAGATGGTGGAGGCCATTCACGCGCACATCGGGTCACTTAACTGGGGCTACAAGGTGCAGCTGCGCGAGCGGCGTGTCACGTACCTGAACGCATACGCCGAGTTCGTGGACGCCCACACGCTTCGGGTAGGCCTGCTGCAGTCGCAATATGCACTAAGTGTGTAAGTCATTGTGGGTTTACGGCGCACTCAGCTACTGAGGCTATTTGACGTTGCCTGCCTCTTGCCCTGGCGGGAGAGCGGGCACCGCGGGGCATTGAAACACATGTGATGGTAAAATGTTTGTAGTGATTGGTGGCAAACGCGAAGGGGCTGATTGTCAGAATTGTATTGCCCGCAGAAATTCTGCTGATCTCGACTACGCGAGCTTAGTTTTGAATGAAAACACTTATATATATATATATATATATATATATATATATATATATCGAATTCTGTAGAGACGCTCACCTGTCCAGCCATACAACTAAAACGCCTTTATGCCTTTTCTCTCACCTCCGGCAACGTTCGATTAAGATAAAATATGCGCCCAAATAACAGCCAGCATTCCAAAGCACCCTTTCGTAATGAGTTTTTAAATCTTCCGAATGTGTCGTCTCGTGTCTCTTGATAATCAGTAATGTTATGTAGGATAGTTATGATATTAAAACTATCGTTAGATGCACTTATGATAGTTGTTAGATAGATATTTCCTATCATTCGCGTGGCAATGGATATTTCCCAGCTCAAGCAAGCTGCTCTGAAATCCACTTGAAGCAAAATGAAGTTCCTCTCAATATTTTTGAAGCATCTTGCAATCATTCAAAGATAACACGCGCTTGGCGATGTGGAGGCGTTTCGGTTCACAATTTAGACTATGATTTTCGTAACTTCAGCCCAAGACACTACGACATTTACGCAACGTCTTGTGATGACTAGAAAATAACATTCGCTTGACACTTGCGGAAGTGTCTCATTTCACAAGTTGGACCATGGTTTTCGTAGCTTCAACTTAAGGCTCTCCTACAAGACACTCATACAGTCCTGGAACATTTTGTTATGATTCCAAAAATAATATGCGCCAGAGCTTTGTGAAGGTGTCTCACTTCATCATTTGAAGTTATTCTTAACTTAAGCTCAATGTTCTTGTACATGCCGGTGTCCTGGCTGAGGTATGATGTCAAACGTTGGCCATGACGACGGCCACATTCATCACTCACTTTAGGAACCTGTTCGTGACAGGAACTCGCATCGGGACGGAGCCTCCGCCACGCACGCGCTAAGGTGAATTCCGTCAGGGTCTCACAAGGCTTGCATTCACCAAATCCCGCGCATGCGCTGCGTACACGGTCAAACGGTGACGTGGGCGCCCCCCCCCCCCCCCTCCCCTTCCTCTTCCGCCGCCGCAGACGGTCGACAAGAAGTCTCGCGAGCGTCTGATCACGGCGAAGCACGTGGTGCTGGCGACGGGCGGCCGGCCGCGGCTGCCGGACATCCCGGGCGCCGCCGAGCTCGGCATCACCAGCGACGACCTCTTCTCACTGCCCAGCTCGCCCGGCCGCACGCTGGTCGTCGGCGCCAGCTACATCGCGCTCGAGTGCGCCGGCTTCCTGCGCGGCCTCGGCCTCGACGTCACCGTCATGGTGCGCTCCATCCTGCTGCGCGGCTTCGACCAGCAGATGGCCGAGCTGGTGGGCGAGCACCTGGTGCGGCGGGGCGTGCGCCTGCTGCGCCCGTGCGTGCCGACGCAGCTGGAGCGGCCCGACCCGGACGGACGGATCCAGGTGAGCGCGCCCACCGGCCGGCCGCCCTCTCCTTACCCGGAGCGAGCTTTGAGAATGCCGAGGACGGTCGATGTATTGTGAGCCAGGCCGGACGGATTTCACTTGAGCAGCGAGACAGCTATCAACAAGGGTGTAGTTTCGCAAATGATTGGGGACGAGGGAGGAGGCTGAACATAAAACAACGGAGAACCGCATTCACAAACTACACTAATAAGCGAGTTTCTCCTCGGACTTGCCCCCCGTTTTTCTCAAAGTTGGGGGAGGGTCTGAAGCTCAACTTGGAGATGCGTCACCCACGCCCAAAATGAATAGGACACTACTTCTCTCGTTCTCAACATGAGGGGCCCGGCCCGACCTGGCCGTTATGCAGTGCAGACACTTACGATTCTGCGTTCACGGATGGTACCTTCATGTAGTCTTTACCACTAAAAGATACTATTCGTGGAAAGCTATGATGTATAATTTGGAAGGAAGGTCTCCGCATATAGCACGTTAGAGCAGACATGGTTGATGGCGTGATTTGTCTGCAACATCCGCCCCGCACCGTACAATCCGGTTGAAAATGCAGTCCGGGGCCCGCTGGCGTCAGGTGGCGGCTCAGACCGCCGATGGCGAGACGCTGCACGAGGAGTACGACACGGTGCTGTTCGCCATCGGACGCACCGCCTGCACGGCCAACATCGGCCTCGACAAGCTGGGCGTCCAGTTGGCGGCCAAGTGAGAGGCGCGCGCCGCCAGACGGGCCGCCAACGCGACCGGCGCGGCGGTTCGTACAGGGGACGGAGTCGCCCGCTGCGCTCGGCGGGGCGTCGACTGGCGCGCCGGTGGATCGCGGGCTCATACGAACCAGCAAACCGTGCGGCGGCTCGGGTGGCTGTTGGGCTTCAGATGTTTTACTCACCGCCCGGGGACGTCGGGAAATGATCGCCGCTGCGGTCTGGGGAGTGCACAGCGCTGTGTCGCCGCCCAGCATGTAACGGCGTCCGGCGCGCGGCGATCATTCGCCGAGCGCTGCGAGCGGGGAGGCGTGTGCACGCTGGCACGCGGCGGCTCGAGCGTGCCGTGCCGTACCCCGGCAGGGACGGCAAGGTGCTGTGCGACGAGGCGGAGCAGTCGAGCGTGCCGCACGTGTACGCTGTCGGCGACATGCTGAGTGGCCGGCCGGAGCTGACGCCGGTGGCCATACAGGCCGGCCGTCTGCTAGCCAGGGTGAGCACGCCGCCAGGCGCGGCCGTGGACATCCGATACGGTGTGGTGTGTACAGCGTCGGTGCTAAATGACGAGTCGAGCCGAGGCCAGATCGTTGATGTTCGTGATCGCATTGGATGTACTCCTACCGAACTTAATGTAATGCAACCTAACCTTTTAAAGTCATATAAACCAAGGCCACAAGTTCAAATCTCATGTACTGATGTAAAAACTCAAAGCATGTGAATTAATCATGGCCGAAAGAGACTTCAGCTCTATGATGTCTGATGTTCTGCTTGGTTTTGTGCAGCTCGTAAGCCGCTAAAGGACACTGTTTGCTGAGGGACTTGTCAAAGTGTCTACGGCCTCTGTTACTGGTGCTCTATTTGTCTCGAATTCTGACCACTAGCTTCAAAGCACTGGATCAGTCGCCCAGAAATGTCCACAAAATATGAGGAACGATAAGGCAGTATGCAGTTGGTGCCGTGCAATGTCCAACAGCGGCATACCCCCCACCCCCCTTGTTGGCAAAGTCGTCCAGCTCGCCGGGGTCGGTGAGGTCTAATTGGTAAGCTCTGCCTCCGAACTCGCAGCCAGTGGTGTAGCTGCTGCCATTTGTGCGGTGGCGCGGGGCCTCCGGCAGCGGTGACCGTCGTTGCCCCCTGTGCAACTTTTCCGTCCGATGATCCGCGTGCGCCGGCATTGGCACCAGGGGAATGTGTGTTTGTGAGCGTGGATGAATGTTTTTTTGCACCATTGGACTGTCGCATTGTAAGCGCAGGAGCGCACCTCGCTAGCTACTGTCCATGCCCCCCTTCCTTCGCGGGCTCCTGTTTGAACCAGCCAGGCCGTCGCCTCACCGCGCCGTCACGACTGGTCGGACACTGAGTCCCCACCCCCTCAGCGGCTGGTGACCGGCGCCACCGCGCTCACCGACTACACCAACGTGCCGACCACGGTGTTCACGCCGGTCGAGTACGGCTGCGTGGGTCTCTCGGAGGAGGCGGCGGTCGAGCGCTACGGCGAGCACGACGTCGAGGTGTACCACCAGTACTTTACGCCGCTCGAGCACACGGTGCCGCAGCGTGACGAGAACGCCTCCTACGGCAAGCTGGTGTGCGTCAAGAGCCAGCAGGTGAGTCACGGACGGCGCCGGGCCGGGGCAGAGGTAGGCGCGGGCCCGGACGACGGGCGGAGTGCAGGGCCGTCTGCTGCACACGCGATCAGCCTTTAAAGTCGGGACCGTGACGACTGTAGTCCTTCATATGCTCAGATTTAGCTCGTACGACAGCACAACATCGATGCGAAACCCGTGTATGTTTGGTGGCGTTTGGGGTCGGAATGGATCGATGCTCCTGATCGATCACACCATACCACACGGGTGTAATGTGGGGCTAGGCGTGGTAAGAGCGTAATCCAGAGCGGCTGACGTGCGGCCAGCAGCTGCACGGGGCGTGTGAGAACGTAGAGATCTCTGCCTGCCGCGGCGCCGCCGCTCCTCCGCGGGTCAGCCGAGCCGTCTGGCGGCCGACCGGCCGGCCCAGAACTGAGCCCTGCCACCGGCCAGCAGGAGCGCGTGGTGGGCTTCCACCTGGTGGCGCCGCACGCCGGCGAGGTCACGCAGGGCTACGCCGTGGCCATGCGGCTGGGCGCCACCAAGGCTGATCTGGACGGCGCCGTGGGCATCCACCCGACCGTGGCGGAGGTGGGTCCCCCGGTCCGGAGTCGGCCGACTGGCCGGCGCTGCGGCGCGACGGCCGGACAGGGTTCAGTTCACGGTCCGGTCAGCTGATGGATGTGGTCCGACCGTGCTAATTTTGTCGCGGATTTTATTGAGGTGTTTCTGTGGGATTCGTGATGTCGTTTTTATCATCGTGATGAGCCTCGTCGGTCTTTTTACTCTCTACTACTGTCAAGGACTGACGACAAATGGGTACGGCCGTAAATACGACATTTTGGCCCCCGGGGCCATTGCGCCACCAATTCACCGACAGCCTGATCCCTGTCCGCAGCAATTCACGTTCATGTTCATCACCAAGTCGTCGGGCGTCAGCAGCAAGTCGACGGGCTGCTGAGGCTAGTGTCGCCGGCGCCGCGCGGTCCCGGCCGGGCCGGGGCCGCGCCGCCGGCCGCCGCCCTGCACAGCTGACGGCCTCCGCGCGCCCCCCGGCGCCGCATGACGGCACGGTCCCAACCCTCGGCCGAGGAGGGCCGCGCCCGAGCTGCGGAGCGCCGTCACCGTACACCAGCGAGAGCTGCCGCTGCCCTCGTGCCTCGTCGCCCCGAAACAAACGATAGGTCTTGACCACGTCTGCCGCCAAGTTACTGCTGCTCTAATCCGTCTGTCGCTGTCATATCGCGGGGTTACTGATCTGTTGGATCTGTCAAATCGTTATGGCAGTGTTGTTATGCGTGGACGGCAAAGTTGTTGCCGTTGTCAACACAGTAGACTTTTATTGGCGGCAACAAATTTTCCGTAGCTTTGTGAAACGCAATGTGAAATCACTTACAATGCAAAGGTGCAAATACTTTGTTCGCGATGCATCGCTCATGCGAATGTCGTTATGTTTTTTAGCGACGTTGGTATTTTATTCCGAATATTTGCCGCTTGACAAAATGCGAAATCCTTGACAATGGAAGCGTGAAATACAAGTTTTTATCAGCCGTGTCCAATAGATGTTTCCCGAACTAAGTTCGCAACATTAATGTATCCTGGACTTTGTCATGCGGTTATCGTAGGATATTGAACTCGGTCTCAAATCTCAGTCTAAACGGATGCCAACGCCCGGTACCAAAACCCTTCCAACCCATGAAACCAGTGATACCCATGGACACTACAATCGCAATGCAGCGCCCAAACAAATGGGCAAGGTTATTATTAATCCGTGAGTGCCCCCATGACCTAACAGCCGTGATGCCTGTGGGAATATTTCCGATATGCTGGCTGTCCTGCAGCCACGGATCTCCCTTTTTTAAATCGGTTAGGGGACTAAGCTGACAAGGTCGACGTAACCTAGCCCCAAAACTCTGTTCCCCCTCGGATTCCCCTCATACGGACGAGAGCCTTTGCAACATTTGCGGTTACACTACCATCGCGTACCTTTATATACAAACAAAACTGGTGCTTTCTCGTTTGCTAAAACGGGTTCCTATTGCCACACCAATTGGTGAGGCGAGGTACCTATTGGTGCAGACTCACTGATGGCTTCTGCTGGCGCTGATCGCGTTCTCCATTCAACTGACAGTGACGATTGTGCGATAAATGCAATTGTCGCCGTTGAGGGGGACGTGGGCCAACTTTTCAGGGTCAATCGGCGCTTTCAAAAGTTGCCACATATGGCCGTCAATTGTTCTTTATCCCAATCCGGGTATCATGTGAAAAGCTCGCCAAACATTTGCAAACTGTCCAAACAAATGATTGAGTTGGCATGACAGTAACATTAGCCACATTCAGGATGCTGTTTGGTGCCAACTGAACATGCTACTTACGGTGATGCGTCTAGGCATTTAGTGCACGGGTGTCGATTTGTATTCTTTTGGGTGGGCCACTGCCCCCCAATGTTCAATCGGCCCTTCAATGGCGAGTTTGCCCCCCCCCATGTTCAACCCCACCAAAGCCGAGTTTGCCCCCCCCCCCCCAACCGTCTGGGGCCCAAGTTCATGTAGGACATTACGAATAACAGCTCGAAATTATATAAGATTTGAAGAAAGCTTCTACTTGCTGCTTCACAGCTAGAAGAACCAAAGAAAATTAAAACTGCAATACCATTTCCAGTTAAGTGCGCCTGACTACGTCAGTCGCACTTTTAAAACTGCGCGGTTGTTCCGCGTTTACTTGAGTTTTCTTGTTGTTTTTTTGCATGTACTTTTCGTGTTTTTAATTACACGATTTAAAGCTATGGCCAAAAGTAGTCTAGTTTTGTGCTATTGTAGGCATATTTTGTCATTCAGCGATTTTAAGTTACGCAAACCGCGGCAAGTTGTGTTGCTTGGCTACGACGTTTTATCGGAAAATGAAAACAAAGCAAGTTACAAGCCGTCTACATTCGGAGGAACCGTTGCAATGTGTCAACCTTCACTTCAACATGCATATCCAATCAAACCGTTGCAAAACCTGACGATCAACCCCAGCCGACCAAACCGATAGCGGTGATCGTCCGACCACGACCACCAACACCAGCCGTGTCGAACATGCCTAACGGGAGTGATGCACCTGCACCCCGCCTTGCGGCAGTCGGCTGGGATTTCCATGGCAGACATTGTCAGTCACGTAAATCAACATAAGTCTGCTCCTGAAGCCGTTCACGTCCAACAGCGTTTGAAGCCACATAACATCGACTCTACACCCATTAACGAAATCTGGCTTCGACGATCGACGTCAACAAAATCATGATGATGCCCAACGGCAATATCTTTCGCCGGGACAAAGCAAGCAAACGGATGAGACGAGGTCTGTCTATTCTGTTTGTGGGGAGGGGACTACAGATCCATAACATCACTGGGGGGAAATTGGAGCAAATTCAAGAGGTTATCAATTTTGTAGTATATTTGACGTCTGTTTTTCCCGTTCAACCTAACCAGTCATGTTTTACGAAACTCACTACCGTGGTAATTTTAACCATCGTGACACACGAAAATTCGTCTCCACATTATACTCCGGTATCAGGTCTGGAACATAGGGCTCATTTACCAAGCAGAGAAAGGGCTGCGATCCGCGCTTTACATTAGTCGAGCTCCCTAAGTCAATAGGTGGCTCCTGTGTCGGTCGAGGGGACCACAGTGCCTAATATGGGTTCAGTACCGACAATGAGGCCAGCGTCGACTTGGGACGGCGTTCGAGGAGCCCACAGAGGATCCGAAGGGTCCCCAGGACCGATGATCAAGTGCCCGATTGGGGGAAGGGGGGGGGGGGGCATAAATGCAGGGCCGGACCATCAAATGTCAGTTAAGGGTCCTCTTGCACCGATTAGGGACACCCTTGGACAGTGCGGGCCCCTATTTCGGTCAAAGATCAACGGTCGGCTCTGTGCCGATCTAAGCCATGGGGGGTCATTTCCTAAGCAGGGACAAGGTGGGAACCCGCTATTAATATTTGAGCTTATCCTATGAAGAGATCAACAGCGACAGCAGCACGAATATACAGATTTCACGTTTACTTGTCTAGTTCTACCATCCAGTTCTTGCAACGGATCGAGGTCCTATAAATGCTAATCCGTTTGTATCATAAATCGAATAATTGCAGAGATGACAAATACTTTCGGAACACCTTCCAAGCGTTCCAATTGACATCCTTACGCGTTCAAAGGTAATTGCTTCGTAAACGTTGCCGTTTTCGTCCGTCCGTGGCCACCGTCTAGTGTTAGACACGGAACCAACGCGGCACGGCCTCTGGAGACGGGAACGCTGGGCGTCGGGGTTTTTGTTGTACGATTTGCGGGCGCACGTGACTAAAACTGGGCTATGTTATTCTTCCCTTACTTCATTCTGAGCAAGGTTCAGCATTCTGAGACCAAAGCAGCTTGATGTGAATGCAAATTCATTGCCTCATTTTGATCTAAGATCCACGTGCACGATGCCCTGTACAACCCAGAAAAAAAATCCGGTTCAGCCCCTGAGTGCTATTGGCTTAGAAAGAGTCCACCGAATCATTGTAGAATGGATGACACCGGCGTGTTTCCTGTTGTTAATTTAATTAAAAATACAAACAGCATTGTATCTATCGGTGACTTCTGGCTTTTAAGAAGGGCAGGGCTCCCTTCGAAATCAAGTGGGCCGTATCCGATGACTTCTTTTATTTTGGGTGGGGCCTTTTCCCAGGGGTAGGGCTTGGTCAGCCCTGTGTCCCACCCCACAGTTACCAAGGCTGTCTGCGTCCCTGCGTCGGTACGCTCATTGAGCATCGAGTATCCGTACGTAAGTTAAGATAACTGAAAACCCAGCTCAACCAGCAACCCAGCAACCAGCGACAATCAACCCGCATTTAGAATGACACTGAAATGACGGGTGCTTCATTTTCACATGCTAGAAGTGAAACGGGTGAGAGTTGCTCTCCCTTCAGAGGCACAACAGCTTAGAAGAATGTCCCCCAGTTGTATGGCTGCCTTGCATTCCGTTTTTATTGAAGATAACGTGGAAAGAAGATTCTCAACAGGAGAGCATCTGCCTCGGCGTATTTGCGGAAAGGTTGAAAACCATACTTCTAACTTACGCTGGAATGAATTTCAACGGTATTTCACATGAATTCGTTAACATCGACACTAAATGCATAAGTTTCAACGGTGAAATTTCGTTGTAGTGAGAACTTGTGTGTAAATGTGTTATGATAGCCACACATATTGTGTACACTGGGATGTCCGTGAATCATGGTTGAATATTCTGACATTTGCAAGTTGAAAATCGGCCGGTAATTTTTGGGTGATATCGAGCTCGCCGTTCTTTGACTCAGCTTTTGACCTTGAAGGTCACATGATGTTGCAAAATAAGAGTCGTCTTTAGTGTTCTCATGCCACAATTGACCTTGTAACCATTCTTTAGGGAAATCGGAGCTCGTCGCTGAAAAAATCGCTGAATAAATCGCTAACTTCACGGGCATTACACTGGACAATCAATTCTTGTAAACGAATGCCCGAATACAGACATCCTAAGCACATAATAGACAAATAATACACAACCATATTTGTTTCGTATGGAACGAGGGCTGCGACTGCATCCCTTCAGCTTCACACAACAGGCCCATTTATGAGAAGCAGATGCAATATGCGAGGCTTCCATGCGTGATTGCTGTGGCTACGCATACGAGCTTGAAAAAAGCCTGTAAGCATCGCACACACACACACACACACACACACACACACACACACACACACACACACACACACACACACACACACACATACATATATATATATATATATATATATATATATATATATAACCAAAACATTAGGAACAAATCCGGAAAGGTTTTGGCTCGTCCCCTTACGACGACTTCCTCGAATCTGCCCCCCTCCCAAACCATGTTCAGAAATCGACACCCACGGCTTCGTGTACCAACAATCGAGAGAGGGCTCGGTGCAGTATTGATGGACTCGCTCCACCATGGGTGAAGAGGGGCTAAAGCCCATCGGGAAATACATAAAGTGACGTCCCTGTCCTCAGCATCACGAGCGGCATCATGCGGTTCGCGGCGCATTGAAGTTTCAGCTCCAGTGACGTCCCCGCTCTGTACCAACCGGCATAAAAACCGGACTTATGTTTAAGCCAATGCACCGCTTCCTTCTTGGCGACAGTGGCTTAAGCGTTGATAAAACTGAAACATCGTGCATGAAGGGAAAGCAAATGACGCCTTGCGCGTCGTGCATGTCCTGCACAACCGCAGAGGGACGTTCACGATTCATTTACAAGCAGCAAATTCCATATCACCTTTTTCACCTCTGCTGTTATCGGAGTGTACATGGCTCAAAGCACGAAACTTGTGATAAACATGGAAATATAGCATTTTGATTGCATTCTGTGCATTTACATTTCCACAAATTGAGCGCTCAAAGAGATATTCTCGTAATAGTAGTGACGTCTCTTTACATGTCAGTGTTTTAAGACCACCGTTGTTATTTAGATGCATGCGCTGCAATTGTCGACGTCCGCCCTTCGCATTCTGCCTCTGATGCGGGGATTCGATAACGCTATCAGCGGTGTCGCATCGTTATGGGTAGTGGCCGAGAATGTACTGGCTTTGTTTCTAGCCGTTGGCGATACATGTCTAGCTGAATTAAAAGTATCGGTTCAGTCTTGCAAGTTATGTGATTGGCATCCACCAAATGCTCTGCGTTTGGGGTGTGAGACTGGACAGCCGCACCGTGATTCCCTATTTGAGCGCTATTTTCTTACGACGTGACTGACTGATGTACCACTCAGGCATAGGTGGCAACGAGAGGAGAGCATTTGCTCAAAAACTTCCCAAGTGAGTTTTGTATATCCACTCATGGCTGTTTTTCATTCCTACCCCCCCCCCCTTCGGTAGTGGGGCAGCTGTCAGGATTGAAATTGTTCACTGTTGGTTGATTTCATTGTATATAAAGTTGTGTGTTGCATCAGGAAGAAAAAGAACATATATCAATGTTACAATTGCTGGCTTAACAAAAGTTGAATTCACAGCAAGAATGTCATAACATGTTTTGCAAGTTAATAATGTGTATTGTTTGATGGCACTAATACACATTTTCCTTTCACTGCATGCTGCTCATGAATTTTTCACTGCTGCCATGCCATACTTGTATTCTTGTTAATTTGGAAAGTTATGTAATAATTATATCACTGAGTAAAACCTACAAACTAGCCCGAAACATTCAGATTGTGGCAAACATGTCCACCGTAGGAGCAACTTTCTAACTGCCACCCATGAATGGGTGACCAGGAGTGCCTATCCCACTATCCCAGCAAAATCACAGCAGCAATATCAATGCATGTACATAATAATTTCTGTGCTCACAGTTAAGTGCATGAACACCCCTGGTAGCAGTGCATATAGATTCACCACATGACCTACGTGGTCAGTGCGCCCCAAAGCCCAAATCACCATCATCATCCCAAAAAGACTCATTGTTAAGCTTGGTGCGTGCATGCACCAGTTCCAGTGCACTTACATCACATGAATGTCATCCGCAGTGTGTGGACTTTTGTATACTGATTCAGTGTTAAAATTTTGGCATGTTGTAAGGAATGACATTGAGATCATCAGCCAGCCATCATGTGCTGCAAAGAAGTTATACTTTGATAAATTATTCAATGTCCTGGTTCTGCTCCAGCTCTTTTGCAGCCCCTGGTGTTTGGGAAGGCCATGGTTAATGGGCTGTCCAGGTTTCATCCAAAATCATCATTGTATGCTTAGATTTTGATACCATAAGAGTAGGGTTACCTGCTCTTACCTGTAAGATGCCTGAAATCATGTGAGCAGAAGTGAAGGTTCAGCCATCTAATGAAAATGATCTGTGTATTTTTTTTAGAAAACCACTGTCCTTTATCCTACTTAAGTTTTATCACATGTGCCATGAGTGCTAGATGCAGGTGTTCCTTTACAGCATCTCATATATGCTTAATACAGCTGTTCTCTGTAAGATACTGATATATGCTGTGACAAATAGTCATGGCTATACTACACCATAATAATTGTTAAATTGTTACAGTTTGGTTGTGTATGCTGCTTACCATTGCACTCTTAGCTTATCTTTCCATAAATATGTTTTGATCATTTTGGACAAAATGTCAAGAAACTATTAGAACCCACTGCTAATTGTGGACAGTTTTTTCTTTGGAGGTCCTACACCATGCTTCTAAAATGCTAAAACTCTTAGACACTCAAAACCACCTTTGGCGTCCATTGGAAACATGCTGTCGTCCGTTATCAAATGTCCACACAGCCATGATGACCTTGGTGTATCATCTAAAACTTGCTGGTTTGAATAAAAATTGTATTTGTTATGCACATTTATTGCAACCATTTGCAACTTTGTGTAGGATTGCTGCCAATTTTTACTGTGGTGAGCTGATTCATGGCAGTCTCATCTTTCTGAAAGCAGCAAGACTCCGAAGGATGTGGTGCAATGTGGTGCAAAAGCATGGTTGAATTGGGCTAAGGGTTTTCTTGTTTGTTCTTCCCTTCTCTCAGTGTAACCTGGTTATGTATGTCAAATAGACAGATAGGATGAGTACTATTGAACCCTACAATCATATGATGCCATGGCAGTCTGATGAGCATGACCTGCTCCTGACATTGCCCCCAAGACCATGCTTGACCTCATACAAGTGCTTCACCCTGACTGGAGCCCCGCTCGCAGCAAACTCCTCTGGGTTTGTTTCAGACATGACGCCGTGGAGCGGCGGCGCCAGGCGGCCTCTGCCGCCTCCTCCACCGTGTCTTTCAGTACGACCCGCGACGCGCGCACCATCGCCGGCGTGCAGACGTCGCCCAGCTCCTCGGTATGGGCCTCCATCTCGACCCGCCAGAGGGTCCGCTGACGGTCCCCCTCCTCTGAACCGCCCGTTACCGCCCGCTTATTGTCAACCGGGCGTCGTGGGCAGCTGCTCAGCTGGGCGCAGCTATCCACTCATCTACATTTGTCATGGCTGATTGTGGCTGGGAATACAGAAGGCACCATGATGTTTGGATGTGCTGATGACAAAATAAACATGTTTGTTATTTGTGAACTCTGTCATAGACCCAGCCCCAGATATATGACATGAACAATGACTTGTGGACCATCCTCTTGTCACCGCCACTCCGTCTCATATACGTTAGACCGGCGCCCTTTGCCGTGTGTTGCGATGACCTCTACCCCGTGCGCCGATCCCCTATGTTTGTTCGGCTCGATGACGATCACACTCCTCGGCTCTGTCGCAGACGTGCTGCAGCGACGTGGTGGAGCCACTTGACTTTGAAGAATTCCTGGAGGCGCACCAGCTGGAGCTGGCCTCGGACGAGCTGCGTGACCTGCTCGACTCGCCGCCGGACGACATCGACGTGGGCATCATACAGCGCCGATACCGCACCGTCCGGCCGCTGGCGCCCGACAAACACGAGATCGGGTCAGTGTGCTCCCGTCCCCCCACCACCACCATCGCCAACACTGCACCGTTTTCCGGCTGCCCCGCCCTCCCCCCGCCTCCCACATGAGATGGTGTCATTTCGCGAATCCACGAAGTGTTTGTGTGATCGAAGGGACACGGTACCATTGCGACAGAGGAGTAGCTATGGCCAGCTGATGAAACCTATAAGTGGGGGTCAAAGTAGTTTGAGTTGCTTCTTTTCTTGTAACATCTTCGGCTTGGTGGGAATTGTGGACAAAGTCCGAGGAGGAGTAGCAGCTATTCCCTCCGCCCCTTCCCTTGCATCTGTAGCTGGTGGTAGCTGCACACTATGGACGTGCTGCGTGCTGGGTAATGCAAACACCGCTGGTCGCGGTAATGTGCTAATGTTCAAGCCGAGTGAGACATTGCCAGTTGCATGACCCTGTCAGATTCAGATTTATGTAAATGTATGATATGTGGTGCACTGATTTGGCTTTTTCATTCATGTCTCAGATCGCTAGACCTGCACGTACAGGAGTGCGTGCGCCACTACTTGTCCGACTGGGTGTACGCTCATCGGCGGTACTCGGAGTTCGGCAGTGCTGGCATCTACCAGCGCTCGCTGGAAACACAAGTGCAGACATCTGCCGAGCTGTATCAGGAGTACGAGGTTGACGGCGTGGTGGAGTTTTCCATCTCTAATGGCGCCAGCAAGGTAGCCATTCAAGCGCGTGCAGAACAATGGAGCGCTGCTGAGGCCATTTTGACTGCTTAATCAGTAACTTCATACTGTTTCACTTGTCTGTTGGCCGTGATAATTTCAAGTCCTCGAATGGCAGTCCTATGCAGAGGACTGTCGCGAGGTAGCTCAAGGAGCGCAGTTTCCGACAGTCCCACGCAGAACCCTGCCATGAGATAGCTCAGGTAGCACAGTGTCGACAGTCCTGAGCAGAGATAGCCCAGGTGCCGACCGCCTCGGCCGGCTACCGTCCTCCCGAGGCCGGTTGGCCGCTGACCCCGTGCCCCGGCTGCTCCCAGTCGACGCCGTCAAGCTCGGCCCGCAGCAGCATGCTGATGGCCGACACGCCGCGTGGGAGCTGGGCCTCCCATTTCGACCTGAAGAACTCGACGGCCGACGCGCTGCTGCCGTCGCTGCTGGACCGCGTGCCGACGGACACGCTGGACCGGCTGAACGAGGCGCGCCGTCAGCAAGGCCGCCTGGTGAGACGCCCCGCCCGCCGGCCGGCCACCGCTGCCGCCGTTGGTCACTGGGGCCGGCCGGGGCCAGGCCAGGGTGACGACAATGACACGGTCGTAGCGCGGATCCAGGCGTCCCCATAGTCGGATTTATCCGTGTGAGAGCATCGGGCCTTGTGGTTCTGTGGCACTAGCCCAGCCTGTGCCAAGGTCAACTGGTGTGAAGACCAGTACATGCCCGATGGGGCGGGGGCGTCACGTCTGGGCACAGGATCGAGCGGGTGGGTGTATTGGAAGCCAACCGGAAAATGCCATGTCTGACCATGGCTCTCTGATGTGCCGTGCCACACCCGTGTTTATGGTCAGGGCCCGCTGCTCTGGCTGTATCACACCCTTACGCACTTCTTCCGTCTGTGGTCAGGGCACACTGTTCTTGCTGTACCACACCCGTACGTACTACTTCCGTCTGTGGTCAGGGATCGCTGTTCTCGCTGTACCACACCCGTACGTACTACTTCCGTCTGTGGTCAGGGCTCGCTGTTCTCGCTGTGCTACACCCGAAAATACTACTCCCGTCTGTGGTCAGGGCTCACTGTTCTCGCTGTGCCACACCCGAAAATACTACTTCCGCCTGTAGTCGGGGCTCGCTGTTCTCGCTGTCCCACACGCGTACGTCTGTGGTCAGGGCTCGCTGTTCTCGCTGTACCCGCCCGAGGACGAGGAGGACGTGATAGAGCGCCGCGCCGCGCCGCCGCTGCCGGCCGAGCACCGTGGCCACCGCATCCTCGTCAAGTGTCTCCAGCTCAAGTAAGACGCGCTCGCGGTGACCTGGGGCGGCGCAGGCTGGCCGGCCCGGGCGCCAGCGCCACCCGCGTCGCGAGCCGAGCCGCTGTCTTGAACCCGTGGGCAGCTTGTGGTGTACGTTTTGGGACGATAGGTGACTGTGTTTGCGCTCTGAAGGCTCAGCTCCTGCCTGGTCTGGGAGCGTGACCGCAGCAACGTCTAACGGCAGTTCAGCATCTCGCCCGCGACGCAGCAGCGTCTTGCGGCTCCGGATCTCTCTGTAACATCTCGCTCTTTTGTGCGGACCCAGTCACGTGTGCAGTGTCGTCTCGCGTGGCGGCGCCATTCGCGGTGCCCGGCGCCGAGGTGCGGAGACGCGTGGCGGTGTGACGTCACCGAGAAGCCCGCAGTGTGAGGTGGCGTCACGCGGCTGTCGTCGGCTGTCGTGACGAGACTGGCGTCCTGGCAGGCTGGAGGTGACGATCGAGCCCATCTTCGCCTCGATGGCCCTGTACGACGCCGGCCGGAAGAAGAAGATATCGGAGAACTTCTATTTCGACATGAACTCGGAGCAGATGAAGAGCATGATGCGCGACCACGTGCCCTACGTCGACATCAGCACACTCAGCAAGAGCTGCATCTTTGACATCACCTACCCCTCGGCGGACCTGTTCCTTGTGATCAAGCTGGAGAAGGTGATGCAGGGTGACATCAACGAGTGCGCCGAGCCGTACATCAATGATAAGGTGGGTCACGATGGAGGTCGCACCGCTGGTCTGTCGCCTAAAGAGTTGACTACATTACCTACCCTGAACTATTTCCCCATTATGAACCACTGACATGGGCTGGCATTGGGTCCACCGCTGCATGTGCCGCACTCAGTAGAGAGAATGCCGCTGCGACGCCAGTGCGACGGGCCTGACTCAGGCCATCAGCGGGGCATCGACTTCCCCGACTTCCGGTCGGTCGGCGCTCGTGCCGCGCACTGACTGGACCCCAGCGGACACGAGTGGGCCAGACAGGCCACGTGCCGCTGGAGTGGCGCACGGCTGTTGTGGCCGGAGCCGATGACGCCGCTGACGCCGCCCCGCGTCCGCCGCAGAGCCGGGAGAAGGCGCACGCCGTGGCGGCCGGCTTCTGCGAGCGGCTCGGCCAGTACCGCATGCCGTTCGCCTGGACGGCCATCTTCCTGACCAACATCGTGGACGGCATCAACAGTCTGGAGCGGGAGGCCGGCGACAGGGACACGTCCAGCAACCCCAACAGTCTCGGTGGGTGCAGACAGGGCTCTCCGGCAGCCTTGGACATCTCTGGTGACTCCCCGAAAAACTCACGCGCGATATTTGCTCTCGAGTCGCAACCGTGCACTCAGCGGGGTTTGTGTCCAGCGCTGTCTATTTTTAGCTCGACAGTGTTTTTCAACATGAAACCTTCTTGAGGTGTCTAATGATCTGACTTAATCTTTTGCGAACGCATCCGCAAGGCGACAGAAATAGTTCACGTTTGCAGAAAATAAGTGCCGATTACATGATCACATTTAATTTCTAACGTAACCTGGCATGTTTGATGCTGCAGCCCCCAGCAGCATCTTCTAACCTAATCAAACATGCAGCCAACATGCTGCCGACGAACTGCGGCAAAAGAGACAAATGGCGAGTACACATTGCTAAATGGGATACCTGACGCATTTACAACGTACGTCGTATGCACGTTGTCTCTGGCGCCGGCAGAGCGCAAGTCCTCCCAGTCGAGTTTCGACCAGTTCCGCAAGCGGCCGGCGGCGGGCGAGGGCGGGGGCGGCAGCGGCGGCCTGGGCCGGCGCGGCTCGTTCGAGCGGCGCAGCTTCAGCGAACGGCGCACGCTCACGCCCGAGCAGTTCGGCCAGAGTCTGCAGACGTTCCGGCCCGTCACGCTCACCGTCGCCAGCTTCTTCAAGCAGGTGAGAGCAGGGTGAGCGGGGCGTGCGCCGGCTGAGGAGTGTCGTCGCTGCGCGGTGAGCCCGCCGCGCTTCGCCTCTCGCGCGCGATATGTGGACAAGGTGGTGCGTCGCCCGCCCGCGCACCGGCAGCGTTGAGCGTCGCGCGAGAATGGGCCCGGCGCGTGATCTGGGGCGTGTTCAAGGGCGACTGCGTGCGAGCGTGTCTTTGTAGAACGCCGAGCGGGTCGGAGAAACGTAACGCCGCGCTTTCGTCGCGCCTGCAGGAGAGCGACCGGCTGAAGGAGGAGGACCTGTTCAAGCACCTGCAGGACCTGAAGCGGCCCAGCAGCGGGCTGAAGAAGCTCAAGTGCATCGGCGGCACGCTCAAGCTGGACATATCGCCGTGTCCGGACGAGGTCAAGAACTGCCTGACGCCGGAGCTGGCCAAAATCAGGCCGTATCCCGGTAAGGCAGGCGCGTCCGGGGGGCCGCAGCGGGTGAGGGCGGGCTATCGACCACCGCCGCGTGACCAAGGCTCGTCCGTCACACACGCCGTTATATTTGGCCGTAGGACGCTGCATGTGAGGCGACCGGCCGGCGCCGCCACTGTCTCACGGCCCGCGCGCTCCGTTGCACGCAGCCGTTCCGCTGGAGGGTGACGATTGTGAGTAGTCGGCGGCGCCCGCCGGCCGCGCTGACCGCTTGGTTTTGTTTCCAGACACCTGTGAGTCGCCTGGCTCACTCGGCCGTCATTTGTATGGGTATTCGGTTGCGTTTGTGCGTGGGTTTGTGCGTTCTGCCAGCCCGTTTTGCGACGTTGAGCTGGTGCTTGATGCTTCGTCACCTTTGTTAATCAGCTAATTACCATCGCGAGCTATTTGTAGGGACTTTGACATTTTCTATATTTGTGTGTTTTTTCTAGTGGTGGTCGTCTGGCTTGCTTCTGTCTCTGAGTGACTTGTCCGCTTTTGTCACCATCCTTGGCACGATCCTGAATCCTGAGGCATCACAACATTGGATGTTGGCTTCCCTTAATTCTGGAGCCTGATAGCTGATAACATTGTACTGCCAATCGTTCGTAGATTTTCCCCGGTTTCATTTCTGGCGTCAGGATGCTAGTGCTTACATTCAGTCTCACTTCGTATCATTCATTTCAATTTCATCATCTCTTCTACAAACCTATCATCTTTTTCGGTTCGCATCGCTGTGTTGCCTGCCGTATGCGGCAGGTGTGCTGACGTGCGCGGACGCTGCGCGTCCGTCTTCCGCCGAACCGGCGGCGTCGGCGCGACTGTGCGGCGCTGGCGGTGCGCCTCGTGCCCAGTGCACCGTGCCGTGCTGATCGTCGCCCCGCCCGTCCGCCAGACGACAAGTGCCGGCCCTGCAAGGAGCTGCTCGAGTTCCCCTCGCAGGCGGTGTACGAGCCGCACTTCCTCTACCGCAGCGTGCTGTTCGTGTCGCCCAAGAGCGTCAACTTCACCAACTACCCGAACAAGCCAGGTACCGCGGCCGGCGCCGTCGCAGCTGGCTTGAAACACGCGCCACTGGTGGGGTCCCTATTCAACTGCAATTGAAGCTGCTGTTGATTCAGTTGTATCGTGCGTTCCGATGCACTCATTGGGATTTTCAAACCGCTTGCACCCTCCTGACATGTTCCTATTGCATGCCTTCTACCAGCCTGGTTGCCTGTCAGCAGCTCTGTCAGCGTGAACTATGCGGGTCCACATGCGACCTGGTGCAGCTCTGACAACCTGCCCGCTCCCGCCCCGCCCTGTTCCCGATGGGTCGGTGCTGGTAACCCCTGTCTCGGGTGGGCCATGCCCGCAGGCATATCAGCCCGCAACATCGCCGTGCGCGTGCAGTTCCTGAACGGCGAGGGTGCGGGCGCGCCCATGCCGGTTATCTTCGGCCGCTCCTCCATGCCGGAGTTCGTCAGCGAGGCGCACACGGCCGTCAGCTACCACAACAAGTCAGTGAGGCGCCGCCCGCGTCCAGCACGCGCTCATACGGGCGTGGTGTGATCGATGCGACAGTCAGTGAGGCGTCGCCCGTGCCCAGCACGCGCTCACGCGGGCGTGGTGCGCTCGGCGCGGCAGTCAAGTGAGGCGCCGCTCTGGGAAGAGCTCTCGCGAAGTCGAATGATGAATGGGATGTCGGACGGGACAGGAGATGACGGAACACTGCGCCGTTGTGCATGTTAGCCTTGTTCCAACGTGTTGTTTGAGCGCCGCCCTGAGGTGGAGTGGCTGATAATTTGGGGCGCGTTGTCGGTAGATTCCAAGACGCTGGGCTGTATCCCGCAAGGGTACGTTATCGGCTCCTTCTGGCGTGCTGCGTAGACGCCAGTTGTCCGGCCAGTTTTGCGCCAGGTCTGCGAGTGAGGCTGGTGGCTGTATGGTTGACAAGGTGGTCGTCCTGCCTCCCAGGATGCCGGACTTCTACGACGAGATCAAGCTGAAGCTGCCGGCTAACCTGACGGACGCGCACCACCTGCTGTTCACCTTCTTCCACATCAGCTGCCAGCCGCGCAAGCAGGAGCAGACCAGCGCCGCCACCCCGATCGGATACACGGTAACGTCCGGAGTCTGGCTGCCTGCGCTTCGTCTTTCCTTGCCGCGACGTGAGAGCAGCCACTGACGATTACCCGATTTCATAAGAGCATGCCAGTGACGTTCGGTTGCCTGTCGGCCGCTGTCATGTGGCGTTGTGTGCACTGTGCTGTGCCAATGCGTGTTCGCGTGGGGAGGTGGTATGTTGGTAGGTGCTGGTCTTTTGTTCCGGGGAGGCGGCCACCTGTGCGTCCCCACGTAACGTTACATTGTGCCCGGTGACAGTGCCTCCGGGCGTGGCGCCGTGACCCTGTCCTGTGCCGGTAACCGCTCCGTGACCCAGCGTGTGATGACGTGCGCTGTTGTCTGCCGCCGAGTGGCCGTTGTGTGACCCAGCGTTACGTCCTGTGACGTTGGCCGCCGCTGCCTGCCGCCGAGTGGCCGCTCTGTGACCCAGCGTCACGTCAGCCGTGTGACGCCGTCCTGCTCCAGTGGCTGCCGGTGTTCCGAGACGGCCGCCTGAACACGGGCGACGCGTGCCTGCCGGTGCTGCTGGAGCCGCCGCCGCCCAACTACCCCTACATCACGCCCGACATCAACCTGCCCGGCGTCAAGTGGGTCGACAACCACCGGCCGCTCTTCTCCGTCTCGATCACGGCCGAGACGTCCGTGCACGCCCAGGTGAGTGACGGGCGGGGCACGGCAGATGTGTCGTCGTGAAGGGATCCGGGCGGGCCCTGCCGCCGTCAGTACAGGTGGTGAGGGGGCAGCGGACGAACTCGCTGGACGTTCGCTGCTTTCGATGCTTCTCGCTAGAACTGAATGGGGCAACACGGATTTTTTTTGGAGACGTCTCTCGCGCTGTGCTGACAAAGGGTAATGCTAGGTGACTCGGTTGGGTGTCGTGGTTGCTACGTTGTTATAGATGGCTTGGTACCGTGGCAGGTCACCCATCGAGGGGCTCTGATCACGTTTAGTCGTTATGCTAATGCTAGTTTCTTGATGACTAGGTCTTGCACTACACGCATGCGTAAATAAAGCCTAGTTTTTAAGCGAGCAGTATGCTGTGTGAGCCTGTCATCTGTTCTATTAAAAAATCAACGGTTTTATTATGCCACTTAACATAACCAGCTTAGGATTTGAACGAGTCCTTTCCGTATAAATCGCCTGTTTCCGAAAGAAGAGAACGTGACATAAGTTGTCAGGCGCATAAGCCTGTCATTCATGTCGCGCCTGTTAATATTTGCATTGCAGGGTGCATGACTGTGCTGTGGTGTGTTTCAGGACAAGGGCATCGACAGCTTCCTTTCCATGTGTCGGGTGGTGGAGAGTGGCGTGGTGCCGCCCCGCATCGGGGAGAACAACGTGGAGGCGGAGCTGAACCGCAGGTGGGTGCTGGAGTGCCGGCCGGTGGTCCGCGATCAGGCACGACCGGTGCATTGGCAGACCATAATGACCCAGCATCACCTGCTGAGGAAAGGGAGACAATAGTTTTTCGTTCGTCGCGTACATGTTTTGCGCGTTCTCTAAGGTTTTACGGCTCACATTGTAGCACGTTTGACGTGTGGAGGACAACTGGTCACAGTGGATCTATTGTAACAGTCAGCACAGTCGCACTCAACTCTGCTGCCGTTTGACGGACTATTCACCGTCTCACGTACGCGCCGCACGCGCCGCGAGCCCCCACGCGCCAGGTCTCTGACGGGTCCAGCTCGCCCGGCGTGCCGGAGTGGCGCGCTGCTCAGCCCGTTAGCGGAGCTGTCCGGGGGTCAGTGCCTGCTGGCCGTTGGTCGAGGGGTTGAACGCGGGGTTGACGCGTCCCGTGCCCTCCCGCCGCCCAGCATCCAGCAGCTGAGCGAGAGCGATCCGGAGCGGCTGGTGCGCCTGCTGCCGCTGCTACTGGACCGGCTGCTGCAGCTGCTGGTGCGGCCGCCGATCGTCGCCGGCCAGGTCATCAACACCGGCCAGCCGTGCTTCCAGGCCATCGGACAGCTGGTGCAGCGGGTCTCGGTGCGTGCCTGCCGGTCCCCCGCCGGACGGCCGGCCGCGTCCAGCACGGCTCGGCGCCAGGGGCGTCCCACGGCAGCGGCAGCTTTGGCCAGAATGACTTTGGATTGTGCCTCTTGCTTTGTGGCTTACAAACTGATGTTGGCTATAAAATATAAGCAGCTTCCACGAGGTGGCGTACGTTTCATTGAATAGAAAGCAGGCCGAGCAGAACAAACGCCGACTCTTTTTCGTGTTGCTTTCCAACTGGTCTGCCCCTGTTCTGGTGGCTCTGCAATTCTTTTCAAGAGGGTTCTTCACAACAGTGAACGGCTGCGCGCAACGGCTGCGGCCTGGCTGGTGTGTGGCGCCGGACGTCCGGCTGCGGGCGCCCCGCTAACATCTGCCCTCCCCGCCGGCAGGACCTGCTGGAGTCGCGTAACGATCAGCACGGCCGGAACGCGCTGCTGATGACGTACGTGCGGTACCAGTGCACGCTGCCGCAGGGCGCGGCCGAGCCGGTGCTGGGCGGCCTCTCGCCGCCGCACAGCCCCGCCTACGTCGGCCGGGCCTCCTCGCTGCCGCGCGCCCGCACCTTCAGCAGGTGGGAGACGCTCGCGCGCGGGCCGGGACGCTCCGAGACGGGGGCGGAGACGCAGACTGTCTGCGTCAGCCCTCGCCGCGACCCGGCGGAGGGTGCCATTGGGGCCGCCGCCGAGAGCCGGCAGCCCGTCCAGGCATTTGGCGGGATTCTGGACTCTGGGGATTGGAGCAGGGTCTGATAGCCGGTTGGCAGAGTCGGGTTGTGTAGGTGAGGATGGAGGTCTTTATGTCACGGGAAGCTCGTGAATGTTTTATGTAATAACGCACAACTTGCGAGGTTATGCGCGGTGCCAACTGAATAGGCGTCACCCGCCTCATGACTCGCCGTCACCTGGTTTCTGGCTCGCCGTCACCTGCCTCCTGACTCGCTGTCACCTGGCTCCTGACGCGCCGTCAGCTACCTCCTGACTCGCCGTCACCTGCCTCCTGACTCGCCGTCACCTGCCTCCTGACTCGCCGTCACCTGCCTCCTGATGCGCCATCGCGTGCCTTTTGACTCGCCGTCACCTGCCTCCTGACGCGCCGCCACCCGTCTCGGGTACCTCTGTGACCTGTCTCGGGTGCCTCCGTCCGTCAGTGACTCGGTGGGGTCCCACTGTGACCTGACCCGTCTCTCCGTCGTCCGGCCAGGAGCACGAGTAACCCGAACATGGCGGCGCCGCTGGACGCCGACTCGGAGGTTGGGCAGATCCTGAGTCGCGCCCTGGATCGGACTGCCAGCCTTCGCACCGGTCAGTAGCCGCCGCTCAGCTTGGGGCCGACCGACGGAGGAAGGGCGATGAGGGGAAGCTCTGCGTCCTCTCAGGCGGTCCCGTGCTGTGGAGGCTGCACCGGTCCACGCCCGGATGGGGGTGGGGAGGTGGACTGGCGCGCTCTCCCGGCCTTTTGTGCTGTGAAACATCTAAGCAGCTTCTTAGGTTTTGTATGTGACGGCATGATATTTTTCCAGTATGTTTTGTGGATAGCAAACGGTTAGAATTAGACCTCTTTTGCTTAGCCTTCGTAAAGCGGCCACCGGGAGCAAATCAGGACAACATGCCACTGGTGACCGCGGCCCGCGCTCAGTGACAGTCGCCTGCAGCGGGTCTTATCTAACGGTGACACGATGGCTTGTCGACCAGTCGTTGAGGCTAACCGTGACTGCCCTTGGGCGCATACTCAGTGCTGGAAGAGCTGCACGAAGGTACGGAGCGAAGTCGATGCGGCCCGCCGGCCCTGGCGGGAGGCGCGTCGGTTTGGCTGGTCGCATCGCTGGTGTTGATTGTCGCCGTGTCGCGTTGTCTGTGGCTTATCGCTTTGTGTCTGCGAACGGCTTTTCGCTCGCCCCGGTCCAGTGGTCCTGCATCCGTTTTCTCCGCGTCCGCCTGCCTGCGCGTGTATGGGAACGGCATAGGCGCGTCACATGTGCGCCAGATGCCCGCCCGACCCGCGGCGCCCCACACGTTGACCCGCCCTCGTCACCAGTCCGTGTCCCCGCGCTCGCCCTGCTGTCGCCGTCACGCCGCCTGCCGCTGCCTGAAACCGTCACGCGTACTGTCGAGCGCACGCCCGCGGCTCGGCCCACATCCGCCGCTCCACGCCGCTGCCGCTGCGAAGCCGCTCGCCCTCGGCGCCTGCCGGGATGGCTGGGGGCGGGGTGCTCCCTGAGCGTGATGTGTGGGCTGTGAAGGCGGCCGGTGACGCTCGCGTCCGGCGTAGCGGCCGGCTCGCTCGTTCGCTCGCAGTGTAGCTCGCCGCTCGCTCCGGCCGCTGCGGCCGGTGACGCCGGCGTCCGGCGTAGCGGCCGGCTCGCTCGCTCGCAGTGTGGCTCGCCGCTCGCTCCGACCGCTGCCGCCGATGACACCTCGCCTCCCGCCGCCACAGGCGTGAGTCAGGAGCTGCTGGTGTCCAGCCGCACGGCCACTACCCGCAAGGTGGTGCACGAGGAGTTGGCGCTGCAGTGGGTGGTGTCCAGCGGCCGCTCGCGAGAGCTGGCGATGCTCAACCCCTGGTGAGCAACGGCGCCGAGCGCTCGTGTCAGCACCGGGTCCCCGCGCGGCAATCGATGTTCTAACCACGTGGGAATACGTGCCGGACAACGGCCTGGGTGCGCTGGTGTGAGCAACGTACAGTGGTAGCTGGTGCTTGATAAGGGGCGGACGACGCGGCGCGCCGCGTTCTCTTCTGTATGAAAGGCCGAAGCCGCGGCGTGTTCCCCGCCAGCGTCGCGTGTCGCTCGCATGTGGCGGCTGCGCATCGACCGACCCGTCGCCGCGTGGCTCAGCCGCCGCCGCGTCCGGCAGGTTCTTCTTCGAGCTGATGTTCAAGTCGATGCTGTGTCACCTGGCGTCGAGCGGCCGCATGGAGGCGCCGCGCCGCTACCGCTTCCCCGAGCGCTTCGCCGACGACGTCACCACGCTGGTCACCAGCATCACCAACGACATTGTCAGCCGGCAGACACGCGACAACCGCGAGGTGACGCGGGTGAGTGCGTTCGACCGCCCGGACTGGGGCTCTTTCGACCGGTGCCTGCGGCTGGGAGCGAGCGCTACCGGTGCTTGAGTCGGCCGCCGTGGTTTGGTATGCCGGGCGCGGAGCAGTGGTGGCGTTTGGCGACCGTGCAACCCCAGCTGGGACAGACCGTGTGTGCCCGCAGTCGCCCTACCGTGACGTCGGTGGTTGTGTGCGGCGCCGCGGCGTTTTAGGTTGTGTAGATGTGGATCGTGTGGATCGAAGACCTGGAATCGCTTTTGCTTTTTCATCATAATTGCGTTGTTTATAAGGCACGCAAACGGTGCGATCTAGCAATGTCTGCTTTAGCCGCACAGCTGCTGGATAGACAGAGCTTTGCGAACCGCGCGCGTTCGATTGGACTCGCGAGAGCAGCGATGACCGGTTCAACCGCGGTGCCTGCCCTGTCCGTGGCTGCCTCCAGATAAGGCTCCCGTCCGGTGACCAGTCCTGTGTCCCTGATCCCTGACCTGTCCTGTGGCGGACCTGCCGAAGGAGCGCGCCGCCACCCCGGACCCGCCGACGCCTCCGCGCACGCTGCGCTCCCCCAAGCGGAGCGCCACGCTGCCGCCGCGCCACCCGCGCTGCAGGGCGGCTCAGTGCGCCGAGCGGCCCGGCTCGCCCGGCGCCGCCCCGCTGGCCGCCGCCGACGTCGTCCGACCCGGGGTCAGCGCCGCGTCCGCCGGCAGGCCCCACCCCTGCCCCCGCTGCCGCCTCCTGCCGAAGGCCACGGCTGGGGCTCGTCAGAATTGTGTGTGCTGCTCTTGAACAGTCTCGTCCTTACGTGAACTGCACACCCGTATCAACCTAGCTGTTGTTTAGGGTGTTGGTATGTCCATTTTGCCTTGTAGTGCAACGCTGATGCAGTGAAAACATGTGGCCGTGATGAGACTGAATGGAATATTGACATTTTACAATATTTGGTGCTGCTCCCCTGTTTTAGTGCACAGTGCTATGTATACTGTCCCACTTTTGCTGAAAACTTAAAAACTATTGAAAACTTGTCACTGAGGCAGTTCGTGGGGATTTTAATGCCTTGCAGTCGTCTCAACTGATGCCCATTCATGTCTGAAAAGGTCTGTACAGCATATATCCGAGTGGTATGTGTCTCTGGCGTGTGGTAAGGTCTATCTAGCACGTTTCCGGGCGAAATGTGTCTGTAGTGTTGCACGACAGCAGCTGACTGATCGGTGGCAGCGGTGGCCTGCGTCTGGCACAGATCCTGTGTGTTCGGCGACGCCCTGTGATGTGCCTGGTGGCGTCTGACCGGACGGCGGCCTTCAGGACGTGAGTCGACTGAACGCGGCGCTGGCCTTCTTCATCAACGATCTGCTGTCGGTGATGGACCGCACGTTCCTGCTGGGCCTGGTGCGGCTCTACTGCCGCGAGATGTCTGTCCCGCCGCGCGCTCGCCGCCGACCCGGCGCAGCTGACGCACCTCAAGGTGGGCAGCCCCCCCCCGTCCGTCAACAGCCGGGGCACGTGCAGCTGACACACCTCAAGGTGGGCAGGCCAATCCCCAGTCTTTCACCAGCCGGGGCACGCGCAGCTGACACACCTCAAGGTGGGCAGCCCATCCCCCAGTCTGTCACCAGCCGGGGCACGCGCATCTGACACACCTCAACGGGGGCAGCCATCCCCCAGTCTGTCACCAGCCGAGGCACGCGCAGCTGACACCCTCAAGGTGGGCGACCCATCCCCCCGTCCGTCACCAGCCGGGGCACGCGCAGCTGACACACCTCAGGTGGGCGACCCATCCCCCCGTCCGTCACCAGCCTGGGGCACGCGCAGCTGACAACACCTCAAGGTGGGCAGCCCATCCCCCGTCAACCAGCCGGGGGCACGCGCGCGCACAGTGCCTCGGCTCGCACGCGCAGCTGACACACTCAAGGTGGGCGTCCCCCTGGCTTCACCAACCAGATCACGTGCGCCAGTCTCTCGGCTCGTACACGCAGCTGGTATCTGGTGAGGTGAGAACTTAGTAAGTCGGTCGGAGGACAGCATTGATGTAGCATTGGTGCTTAGGTTGTTACAGTTTGCTGGGGAGTTGATCCTGCTGAAGAAAGTAATGCCAGCGTTGATTGCATCGCTCTGTCTCAGGCAAATACAAATGTAGATGTTCCGCGTCTTTGGAGCTCGTGTGCACGGCGTCACTGCGTACGTGAGGCCGTCGCTTGACGCCGCGCCTCCGCCGCAGCTGGACTTTCTGCGGATCGTGTGCTCGCACGAGCACTACTTCTCGCTGAACCTGCCGCTGGCCACGCCGCTGAGCAGCGCTCAGCCGGCCGCCTCGCCGACGCCGTCGGTGGGCTCGGCCAGCTCGCAGTCGTCCTACCTGTCGTCCACGCTGGTGGCCAACGAGCGGCCGCGCTTCGCCGAGCTGAGCGCCGAGTTCCGGCAGCAGCACTTCCTGGCCGGCCTGGTGCTCAGCGAGCTGGACCTGGTGCTGCGCGGCAGGTCAGTGGGCGTGTCAGGCAGGTCAGCCTGGTGCTGCGCGGCAGGTGAGTCGGCGTGTCAGACAGGCCAGTCTCGTGCTCAGCGAGCTGGACCTGGTGCTGCGCGGCAGGTCAGTCGGCATGTCAGACAGGTAGGTCCACAGGTGTGGCAGGTCAAACAGATCAGCCTGGTACTCAGCGAGCTGGACCTGGTGCTGCGCGGCAGGTCGGTCGGCGTATCAGGCAGGTCAGTCCGCAGGCTTAGCAGGTCGGACAGATCAGACTGGTCCTCAGTAAGACGGGTCAGTCTGCAGACGGCGGGTGGAGCAACGACGCACCCTGATGTTTGGGCTTTGGGGTGTCTAGTCCGGGTTCGATGTGTTTGTTGGTTACAGAGTAAACGACACAGCGAAGTCCGCCGCTGGGGCTCGCTGCATTGGTCCCTGACTTGAAACGCGGCTCGTGTTTTGCCCTTTCATCCGCACGGGGCAGAGACCGCCGCCACGTGCTGCAGCCCCTTGCTCGTGGTCGTCCAGCGAGCGTCGCCCTGTCCGTAACTGGTATCGTCGTCGTTCACAGCAACTCGGGCACACACAGCAAGGCGGTGAGCGTGGTGGCGCAACCTGCTGGCCTGGCACGACGCCGACCCGCGGCTTCCAGGATCCGACGGCCCCAAGGCGGCGCGTGGCGCTGCTCTACCTGCCACTGCTGCCCGTCGTGCTGGACAACCTGGAGCACGTGCACGACTGGAGCGCGCAAGGTGAGTGGGGCGGCCGGCGGCCGGCCGCCCGGCTCTCGTTCGCCCGGCCGTGCCCGAGTCCGGCCGGCAGGGCTGCGCAGAGAGCGACAGAACGACGAGAGGCGTATGCGGGGAGGCGCGCTCGCCAGCGCAGAGCGCCGCCCTTGGGCATCGTCTCACACGCTGCCCTGGCCGCCGAGCTGACGCGTTGTCTCGGGAACTGTGCGTGATTGCGTGCGCTCCTCGAGCCGCGAACTCCTCGTCGAACTCCTCGCGCCTGGTCGTGCTGACGACATGACAAACTGCAGATACTGTTCGGGACATTGATGAAGAGCACAACATGCATTTGCGAAGGACGTGAGAGCTGTCAGGTTCCTATTTGGACACATTATTGAATGCCAGCGCAGTCAGCTTGCTCTTGAACCAGATCCGCACTAGAGTACATCCTCGGCAGAGCGTGTTCGTGAGCAGGCTTGTCGCACACTACTCCCGTCCGTGCGGTGATCTGCCGGGCCGCGCGGCCGCCGGGCCGACCGGCGAGCTCTGACCTCTAACGGGGCCGGCACAGGTCGCGGCGGCTACCTGTCCCGGGAGGGCGGCACCTTGGGCGCCCAGCTGCTGAACGGGGGCCGGGACGCGGCCGGTGACGACGCCGCACGCGATGCCCAGGTGAGCGCCGACGCGCCGCCGTCTGCACCCCGTGTGCTGGACAGTGGCCTCGGGCGGGCTGGCGGCCCCTGCTGTGTGATGTTTTGGGAAGGTCGGGCTACACAGGACAGTGGTGCGGCGAGCAGGGCGTGGGTGGTCAGGGCTGTGGTAACGCGTCGCTGACCAGCTGTTATTGTGGCTAAGCGCGTGGACCGTTGTGAGGCTCTGCTCAGGGGTGATGCTCGTTTCATGCAGCTGGATATGTCGAGTACCATCACTCCGGACATGTCCTACTTCGTAAGTTCTCCCCGGTTTGCGGTTGGAGCAACTGTTGTTTCGGGTCATTCTTCACAATTTTATCGTCATGAATTTGGTTTAGCTGCACTTTTTAAAATTCTGACACAATCTGGCTGTGATGTCTGCACGTTATGTTGTCACCCAATGCCCGCTTTTGTTAGTTGCACCACACTGTAGTTCGTACACGTGTACATATAGCTGTTACAGATAGCAGAAGCAAGCATGTGTGATTGCTTGCTTTTGTCACTCATTGCCTAGACAAGAGACATTGCATGTATCACAGTTGGTTGCGATCAGGCGATATTAGGGGATGCACTCTTTGAGGCAGGATGTTGCGGTTTAGTCAACAGTTGTTGAGTAAGTCTCGGTACAGGCAGCGAATTGCATTGGCGGCTACGTATTTCATCGCGGATATGCAGACCTGTTGACTTGTGCGTCGGGGTGTCGCACATTTTGTGCTCCTCCAAGTGGCTTGTCTTACGCCCAGTACTCCCCTGAGCGGCCTGACGCGCGGTGCTCCTCGGAGCGACCTGTCTGATGTCCGGTGCTTCCCAGAGCGGCCTGTCTGACGTCCGGTGCTCCCCAGAGCAGCCTGTATGACACGTGCTCCCCAGAGGAGCCTGTCCGACATCCGGTGCTTCTCAGAGCGGCCTGTCTGGCGTCCGGTGCTCCCCAGAGCGGCCTGTCTGACGTCCGGTGCTCCCCAGATCGGCCTGTTTGACGTCCGCTGCTCCCCAGAGCGGCCTGTCGGGTATTCGGCCGGAGACCAGCCGCGACCTGCTGACCTGCGTACTGTGGGTGCTGAAAAACACGCGCGCGGACGTGCTGCGTGCCACCTGGGCCGAGTACCGACCGTCGCGCATCCAGCTGCTGCTGCGGCTGCTGCACACGGCCGTGTCTTGCTTTGAGTACAAGGTGGGCAGCCCGTCGGCCATGAGGTGGGCGGCGCGCGGCTCGGCGGAGTGGACACTTCCGGCCAGCCACCGCGGCGGCCGGTGTTTTCCGGGC